CATCAGGCTCGAGCGATGCGAGCGCACACTCAAGATCAGGCAGCTTCGGCGAAGTACAAGCGAATGGATCAGCATCATCATACCACGCAGCGCTAGGTTTTCCTGGGCTACAGAAAGCTACAGATCCCATCTCGGCGATATCACAGGGAGGAAGTGAGGGCGCGCCTTCAATGGAGCGGGCAAACAGCAGCCAGCCACTACCAGACTTGGACGCCATGGCCGCAGAGAAAGGTCGACCATTAGAGGTGGACGATCTAGACGATGCTGCGTGGAGAGCAGCGAGCGCACGAGGAATGATCGAGGAAAAAGGCAGCTTGGGCGAAGGTGCTGGTGGCGCAGTCACGAAATGCATACTGAAAGGCGGAAAAACAACATTTGCCCTGAAGGTATGCATCATCATGTTTTCCAGCTTCTATTTGACTAATCCCTTCAGATCATTACAACGAATCCTGACCCCGATGTCAAGAAGCAAATCGTACGAGAGCTTTCTTTTAACAAGAACTGTGCTAGCGACCACATTTGTCGCTACTACGGTGCATTCATGGACGACAGTACAGGGACTATTAGTATTGCTATGGAGTTCTGCGAAGGCGGATCACTCGATGCGGTATACCGCGAGGTCAAGAAGCTAGGAGGCCGGACTGGCGAGAAAGTGCTTGGCAAGGTCGCTGAGGGCGTGCTTAATGGACTCACGTACCTCCACTCTCATCGCATCATCCACCGGGATATCAAGCCCAGCAACATTTTACTATGCCGGAACGGCCAGGTGAAGCTGTGTGATTTTGGTGTGTCCGGAGAGTTCGGAACCAAAGGAGACGCCAACACATTCATTGGAACGTCATACTACATGGCACCCGAGCGCATCACTGGGCAAAGCTATACCATCACTAGTGATGTGTGGAGCTTAGGTGTGACTCTGCTAGAAGTTGCGCAGCATCGCTTCCCTTTCCCGGCCGACGGAACTGAGATGAACCCCCGCGCTGGGTTGATTGACCTACTCACCTACATCGTTCGGCAACCCATTCCTAAGCTGAAAGACGAGCCTGAGAATGGCATCAAGTGGACAGAGAACTTCAAATACTTCATTGAATGCTGGTATGTAGATTTCTTGTATAGAGTTGGACTTCTGCTAACAATTTCCAGTCTTGAGAAGGACTGTCCTCGAAGAGCCACGCCCTGGCGGATGCTCGAACATCCATGGATGGTCGAGATGAAATCCAAGAAAGTCAACATGGCACATTTCCTTAAACAAGTTTGGGATTGGAAAGACTAAGCGCGCTTGCATCCGATTGCGAACACTGTTACGACTCGCGATTATCTTGCTGTTGACGTTGGCGTCACATTGTGTTGCAACATTCACAGTCTTTCATGAGCTTCGAACGGCTCAACTTGTACCTTCAATCAACACACTTGGTCGCATGCTGGGCATCATACCAAGATTGCCTGCACGGAAAACAACCGTACGTGGGAACAAAACTCTGGACTTGTAGCACGGACTGCAATTATCATAAAGCTTGGAGAATATCTTGGTGAAGCAAGGATTAGGGCGCGAGTTCGATAAGCGCTGTGTGGAGACCATAGGCATTGACGGCGTCTGAGCGGCTCATGTTGCATACAGCAACCTTTTGCGGAAATGTGATCTATGTACGACTGAATGTTGAGAACCAAATCTTCAAAGAACCTAAATGTACAGACTGAGGCACGACCCGATTTATGAGGACGTGATGAAGGACTTTTTTTTAAACAACAAATTCTACTCGGCTGAATAGGAAACCGTCTTTCCACAAGAATTAATCCTCTATGTTTGCATCGACTTCATTCTTATCCCTAGTGAGTGGATGCTCCATGAGGCTTAGCGCAAGAACCGGTCCGACACAGCTCCGATTGCTCCAAGCCCGCGAGGCTTGGAGTCATATCAAATAATTTACGCCGCTACATCATCTAGTCCGCCAGTCGATTGAGAAAGTGACGGACCTTCAACGCGCTCTTCTATCGAGTAGATCCCCGCGTGCGACTACTGCGACCACGCCAACCGCCTGAGAATTGCTCCTTACTCCCAACCTACCCCTCCAAATACCCCACCATCGCACACGAGAATCGCGCCAAAGTCTCCTGCAGACCAAACAATCTGCCAAAATGCCGACGATTGGAGTAGATAAGGCGGCTCTTTTCAAGGAGCTAGGCAAGGAGTACACCTACCAGGAGTTCGACGACCTATGTTTCGAATTCGGTATCGAGTTGGACGAGGACACCAGCCTGAGCACCAAGCCAGAAGATCAGGCGCAACCACCACAACTCAAGATCGAGATCCCTGCGAACCGATATGATATGCTGTGTTTCGAGGGTATTGCAATGAATCTTAAAGTCTTCCTTGGAAAACAGAAGTTGCCCAAGTGGACCGTCACTGCGCCCAAAGGAGGAGAGCTTGAGGTGTTGGAAATCAAGCCCGAGGTATGACAGTTGTCTGCATGGAAGTAGAGCAGTTGCGCTGATGATATGTCATACAGACAAAGCAAATACGAGAGCTCTGCTCTGGTGTCATACTACGAGGCATCACCTTCACGAAAGAACGATACGAGTCCTTCATCGCGTTACAAGACAAGTTACATTCCAACCTGGCGCGTCAAAGGACGCTGGTATCCATTGGAACGCACGATCTAGACAGTAGGTGGTCCTGCATGTTTATTTTGCGGCGATGTCTAACGAAACATAGCAATCAAGGGCCCTTTCTCGTACGAAGCGCTACCACCAGAGCAGATCAAGTTCACGCCTCTTAACCAAGACAAAGAGATGAACGCAAAGGAACTTATGGAGTTTTATGAGGTTAGTAGTTATCTTCTGTTTCTACAATCTGTGTTTCTGACCTTGAGCAGAAAGACAAGCACCTCGGACGTTTCCTGCACATTATTCGCGACTCGCCAGTATACCCTGTAATCTACGACGCAAACCGCACTGTCCTCTCGTTACCACCTATCATCAACAGCAATCATAGCAAGATCACACTCGACACGAAGAACGTCTTCATCGAAATCACTGCGACAGACAAGACCAAGGTCGAGATTGTCAACCATATGCTTGTCGCCATGTTCGCTGGTTACGCTGAGTCGATCGAACCTATCAAGATCAACTCACCCCACAATGGAGAGTCAAGAGAGTCGCCGGATCTCTCACCACGGCAAATGCAGGTTGAGGTCGACTATTTGAACCAGGTCACTGGTCTAAACAAGTCTCCCGAGGAGATCTCGGAACTTCTGTCGAAAATGGGTCATGATGTTTCACCATCTCAGTCTGACAAGAACATCCTTGATGTTTCTGTCCCAATCACTCGGGCAGATATCCTCCATCAAGCCGATATCATGGAGGATTACGCGATCGCCTACGGGTTCAACAAATTGCCGCGGGTGTACCCTAACAAAACTGCTGCGGTCTCAGCGCCATTGCCGATCAACAAGCTCGGTGACATAGTTCGGATAGAGTCTGCATCCTCAGGATGGACCGAAGTCATGCCTCTTATCCTCTGCTCACATGAAGAGAACTTTGAGTGGCTAAATCGGAAAGATGACGGCAAGACGGCAGTCAAGCTTGCAAACCCCAAGACCGCGGAGTATCAGCTCGTCCGAACATCGTTACTACCAGGTCTCCTCAAGACAATCAACTCCAACAAGCACCATTCGGTACCCATGAAGATCTTCGAGGTCAGCGATATTGGTCTTGTCGATTTGGAGCAGGAGAGAAAGAGCAGGAACGAGCGACACTTCGCTGCAGCTTTCATGGGCAAGACAAGCGGCTTCGAACAAGTACACGGTCTGCTGGACAGACTGATGCTTATGCTCCGGTCGGCGTTCCTTACGCGGGAAGACGGCCTCAAGAACGAACAACTACAGGGTTACTGGATAGAAGAGGTTGATGGTAAGTGCACGCTCTCAGTATTCAGAATACGTATAGGTTTACTGATTCGTCATAGATCCAACTTTCCTTGCTGGACACTCGGCCGCTATCAAGCTGAACCTTGGTGGTAAGAACCACACCATTGGTGTCTTTGGTATCTTGCACCCGAGTGTGCTTCAGAAGTTCGAATTGCCGTAAGTTCATTCAAAACGGTACTGAATCAGAAACTGACAAATGTACAGATATCCCGTGAGTACGCTGGAGTTCAATCTAGAAGTCTTCTTGTGAGATGCCGCACATCCGCCCTCGGTGCAGTCTTAGAACACTCTTTCTGGCGCAATAGATTACTAGATGTCACGCTCGAATTGACACGATATGGTCTGCCACCTACAAATGCTGGACTGAAATCGTACGAAGCACCGCATTTGTTTAAAGTTTACCAACCAAGCAAAAATGACAAACTCTTTGGCGCAGGATAGCGCGACGCGTGATGCTATCGTCACCAGAAAGATACAGTGCCGTGCGCAATGCCGTGTTAGCCGTCTTTTGGAACACTCGACTATGATAAATCTGTAAAGCCGTGCGTAGTGCTGCACCCCGACTCGATACAGATTCGATAATGATGCCCTTAGTGTGTGGGGAAGCCTGCAAATTACTAGTTCACGCGTGGTGACGTCACCCCCATCGCATGCAAACATCGAATAGAGCGGATGTGTCGGTCGCTTCACCTCTACTTTCTTCGGTACATCCTGCAAGAACGATTGAGAGGGCCCGCAAAATATCCACGCGACGTCTTTCGACTTCTGCAAATTCCAGCGTTAAGCGTTGCATAGCCTCTTTGGAGTGCCGATTACCCGTGCTGCTCGCATCGTTCCTGACGGGGAGTTGGCTTCAGATGTCACTGTGCATGCAGCGAACTAGTATATGAGCGAATAACAGCCGGCGACCGCGCGTAGTCAGGGTGTTCACATTGGTCTGGTAGGGATTCAAGCAGCGTCCAGGGCCGAAGCATTTAAGCAAGCGTGTCCAAGCGGAGACTTGTCAAAGGCTAAGAGCACCGAGATTCGATGGCTGGGCGCATAGTCTTCTAGAAGACAGACTAGTACTTACGAGAAGCTCACTCGAAAGCTGGCTCATGGCCAAACAAAACCTCAGGAGCTTTTCCGAAGGTGTTTGTGCCGTATACGCACCTTACCTTCTAGACTTCTGATGGTTGGTGCCGGCATGGCATTCTCCTCTGTACCTAACAAGTGGTATACGTCGTTTGTGACGATGGTTATGCTTCTTGCTTCGCGATCTTGGTTCGATTTTTGCTAGTGAGTAGCCGCCGATATCGAGGGTAGTAAGTGTGTATCCCGTACCCAGCAGTGGCATCCATCCACCGATATTTCTGTAGGTATATATATTGAGTCCCTTTCTGTATACACTGCCAGTATGCACCTCTTCAGAACTTTATATCAGCTTCAACTTCTCAATAAGAATACTTTCCTTCGATACCATACCCGTATCCCTTCACTACTTCAACATGTCTCCTCGCGCAGTGCACTTCATCCGTCATGCCGAAGGCTACCACAATTCGGAACACAATGAGAATATCCCCGACCCAGACCTCACTCCAAAGGGCAAAGAACAATGCAAAAAGCTTTCACAAACATTCCCTTACTTTGATCGCATCGACTTAGTTTGCGCGAGTCCTATTCGCCGCGCTATCCAGACCGCACTTATCAGCATGGACCCTTGGTTGCAGTCTGGAAAACGCAATATTCTAGCTCTACCCTTAGCCCAAGAAGCCACGGACCTGCCTGCGAACACACCAAGCGACGTGCAGCGCCTTCAGAAAGAATTCGGCGATGTGTGCAATTTTCACAGGTGTTTAGACGTCTACACCGATTTTAACACGAAGAAGGGGAAGTGGGCGTCAGACGGTGATTCGTTAAAAGCACGCGCGCTTGAACTTCGCCGCTTCCTACGCGACTGCGACGAGCAGGAAATTGTCGTTGTATCGCACGGTGATTTCCTACATTATGTTTCCGGGGATCTGGATGAGAATGATTGTCAGACTCATGGAGATTGGCAGAACACGGAGACGAGGAGTTACCGATTCTACCCGGTCGGTCACGAGGATGCGTTATTGCAGGAGACGGAGGAGAGTGTGAAGTTGAGGCACGCAAGTGGACCTGGGCAAGCGATGGGATCTGGCGAGAGTAAGACACCGTGAGATAGGGTGATTGGAAGTGCTGGATGGTAGAATAGCGATTCTACTATGATTTTCGATCTTCTGCGAAGTTGAGTATGGATAGTAATTACGAGTCAAGAACAGCAATATTGCAAATTATTCCATGACTTGCGAATTGGTGAAAGTGAAGAACATAGAGATACTTGTTCCCCTTCGCAGCTACCCCACAAATAGATATTCGGCGAATCTTGCTACATCCAGTGGCGCTAATCCCGGAATCACCTTCCACGAAGAGCAAGATCGCGGCTTTGTATCTCAGATGACGGACCGTAACCTTCGTAACATTAGAAACACTCAATCATTATAACATGGAAGCCTTCATCTCAACAAGCATATTTTCGATTTCCACATGTTCCCCAACATCGCCGACATCCTCGAATCCGCTCCCACTACAACCCTCACCTCAACACCAATCACTCCTGCATCTGAGATCACTATGGCGAGTGATCCAATAACGCACATCGTACTCTTCAAATACCGGCAAGATATATCATGGTCAGATCTAGAAAGCCATTTCAAGTCCTTCATGTCACTACAGCAAAAATCGCTAGACCCTCATACTGGTAAACCCCTCATACAGTCGCTCAAAGCTGGCAAGAACAGATCATGGGAGCCTTTCTCGAAGGGCATGACACATGGTTTCGTGCTCGAGTTTGCGAACCAAGCGGATTTGGACTACTACCTCACAACCGAGCCTGTGCACAAGGCCTTCTCCCAGGCCGCGAAACCGCTTATCGAGGACAGCTTAGTGATTGATATCAAAGATGGTGTGCTCTTTGGCTCACCGGCTGAACATCCGTCAGCAAGAGAGGATGGAGTAAGAAGGGGGACATGTCATTGCGAGAGCATTCACTGGACAGCGAAGCTTGAGAATGCTGAGCATGTGCTTTGCCACTGCTCAACGTGTCAAAAGCTCGGTGGCGGTCCGTACTCATGCAATCAAATCATACCGAAAGAAGAACTGCAGATCATCTCAGGCGAAGAGAATATCAGACAATATCGTTACAAAGGCGCCAGCGGTATGTTTCGTTTTGCCGCGTTGGTAAAGAGAGAAAAGGAGCTGACGGGGTTAGGTAAATTCGTGCGATGCTATTTTTGCAAGATTTGCACGAGCCATATCTACCATCATCAGGATGTCATGCCGGAAAAGATTATTGTCCGTACTTTGTTACTGGAAGGTGGTGAGAATATGCCAGCAACTGCTGAGATATTTGGCGAGGGAAGGTTAGCCTGGGTACAAGAGCTTTCGAAGCAACTATGAGCGGTGACTTGGTAAGGTGCAGAAGAGGAAAACTCTCAAGTGGAACATAAGCATATTTTCTTTTGGACTTCCTTCCAATATCTACTATAAATTCACGACAGTTGGTGTCAGTGATATACGTAAGCTCAACTCTGCTGCACCGCCAATTACACCTGGTATCTAGCCATCATCCCTCCTGCTCCGTCTTTTATAGCAGATCGCGAGGTCTTTGTTCGCCATTCGTACTGTTCGAATCCTTCTCGTGGCTGTTGTCCACTGTCCACGCAACTGTCTTTGTGATCATCATTGGATCCCCACGTTGTGTGTCCCTTCTCGTAATGTGCTTGTCTTCGCCCGGTACATTTGTCAGCTCCAATTCATCAATCTCCTTGAACGTGCTGTGCGTCTTCGCAGTTCTCGTGAAGCGTTTCGACCGAGCATCCCCCTGAGAGCCGGCTGTGGGGTACATGTACCCGCGATTGCTTGATTCATCTGCATTCCTAAGCGAAGGGATGCAGCAACTGAGAAAGTACTTAATTGTTGGGCCACATGTCCCGACAATTGCGAGTCCAGATTCGATGTTTGAGAGGGTGTAGCCAACTCCGTATGACCCATCTTCCGTGGCCTCTTTCAGTACAAAAACTTTGACAAGGACACTCGTGCGCACCGCGCCGACCACAGTGACTAGAATTCCGAAGGACAGAAATGCAATGACCATGAGCTTACGACCAAGAGGCATTTTCAAATCGTGTAATATCCATGAAGGCATGAGCAGGATTAGGACATCAGTCGTGAGCACAATTAACGACGTGCTGACAGTGTAGGCGCCAGCATCAACGCACCGTCCTTGAATACCGGGATTCCAGTACTTAGATATTGGATTGCATTGCAGAATGCAGGCGAGAGGTGCAGCAACGGCGAAACAGCCGTTTATGATAAGTGTTCCCCATAGACAAACGTTTATCCACTTGTTCTGCGATCGGAGCTTGATGAGTGTCATCAAGAAGGAGGCCTCAACCAAGGCGAGGATGGGATTGTAGATGATCGAGTTCGCATAGTTCCACTGCGAATCAGTCAGAATTATGAATATCAGGCGACGACGATGATGCTACTTCGTAACGCACCTTCATCATCACGATCGGATCGATTGCACCATCAGGGATATCGCGAGTATGGTAGCCATAGTAGCTGGTGAGAATATCTGTCGAGTGCCGTTAGCTGTATGCACACATATATTGCTAATACGGAGTGCGAAACGAGAAAATACTTACAACCACACGTTGTGAAAGAGAGAACGAGGTTCAAAAACTAATGTACAGTACACATATTAGCTAAAGATACTGGAGATCACCATGAACCGGGGCGGTGCTTTACAGTCGCAATGATCAAAAGTAAATCTTCTGAATAATGTGTGAGTAGAGATGTATGTTAAACCACTGAACAAACTCACCAACACCCAACCTGCCTCCTTTAAGCCTGAGTACAACACGTACGGACACTATCACGACACAGCAAACGCTTGGAAAGATCGCCAAGAATAAGTTCACTGGCTGTAAGCCTTTGTTTGCCATGGTAGAAATTTGTGTACGCAGAAGAAACGCAAAGTATAAAACAAAGCAAGTATACCGAATTTTGGAACCAGGCAGCACCTCGGGACGGTCGTTCTTGCAACGAAATTACTGAACTTTCCGTCTCCCGCTTCCGTCTCATCTCTATTACCCTGGGAGAAGAAGTAAACAGATTCGTGAACGGTTGTGATTGGTCAATGTAACAGAAAGCGGCTCACAAATCCTATACGCAAGGGTTTCTGCGATCCTGCTTCACAGAACAAGTACATGAACCTTGGCCATGACCGCTGATTAGACAATCCTCCGAACCTTCCGGAAGGAAGCTTGGCAAAGGGCATCCCTTGTGGACTTGTTGTGATGTCCAATCATAAATCTGGGTAGAATTCTGTGGCGTTCTGTCGGCTTTATATTCTCCTTCAAAGTTTCCGCGGAAGCAACTGCTTAGAAGTACAGTGAATGGCAGGTAATTTTTTGCTTCAGCTACTTGAGGCGGAAACAGATTGTGTGAAGTATCATGGGACGCTTCGTATCGTCTTCGCGGCATCCTGGACTCCATTCGGCATGGTTTCTGGACCACATGCCATGAGTGACCCACTACAGGTTCGACGAGGACATGTGAGGCCGTCTATCAAGCCGCTGAATGGTGATCCTTGCTTCATATGCCCTCCATCACACCTGTATCCTGCAGTTGGCGCAGCTAAGAATATTGTGGGGCTCGAGGCGGCTGAGAACCCTGAGCCAAATCCTTCTTCGCTTGAGATATTCCAATCTCCAAATCGCAAAGATATGCTAAAGCCGAAAGCCCGAAGGTATCTTCCTTGTGTTTTGACGATCAAAGACGGACCCGGGAAGGGCTTTGGCGTACTTCTATTGGTGGAATAGCCGCCACCGAGCGGGCGGGCCGCATGGGGAAGAGGGAGATTGAGCGAGGGGCGGCAGCTACACTCGGACACGCTTTACGAGTAATGTAGGTACAACGACCTGCATATTGCTGCTGCATACAACGCAACGATCCCTCCGACATTTGCCTCTCAGGTATCGCCTGCCATGTGGTTCGACACATAGTTCTCGAACGAATCCTTTGGCCTAGCGCCATGTGGAAATGAGTTCATTTATTAGGGACACCTCACGTAGACATGATTTGCTTCTCCGTTGCCGACACTTTAGTTCTTGCTGAGCTGCAGTTCTTTCGCTATGTCTGCACGTGGTCCTTTCTTGTTTCTTGTTGCAAGAGCTATCGGCGCCCTTGGCAGCCCTGTCGCCATACGCGATGTCGCACCTGCTGCTGCTACGGTCTCTGCGGACTCTCCTGCAGGCGTTGCTCTTTTCCCCCAGGAGGCAGTTCAATTGACCGACAAGGTACTGAAGACGGCAGAGAGCCAAACCAGCGAGGTTGATGTGAATGCACTCTTTGGATTCGATAGCGGCAATGAGACAACGGCTATTTCAAAGCGTGCACTCAGCAGTGGTCAATGTAAAGCCTTTCCAGGCGATCCAAACTACCCGAAAGAGTGGGTATGGTCTATCTTCGACCTCTTACTCGGAGGAGCACTCATCAAGACAACTCCTATCGCCGCGCCTTGCTATAAGAAATCAGCCTGGGATAACTACGACGAGATGAAATGCGCAGACATATCAGCCAGATTTACTACAGCCGATCTCCAGTAAGTAAAACTCCACATGTAGCAAATATTACTGTTCACTAACCTTCATGATCAGCACGAGTGATCCAACCTCCATGATGTGGCCTCTCTTCCAGGGTCGTACATGCGTGCCAACCGACGATCCCAGTGGTACCTGCACACTAGGTGGCTATGCCTCTTACTCCATTGATGTCGAGAACGTTGCCCAGGTGCAACTTGGCGTCAATTTTGCTCGCAACATGGACTTGAGGTTGACTGTTAAAAATACTGGCCATGGTAAGTGTCCCTTGTACGGATTGTATGTGAGACATATATTAACTTCACACGCTTACGTTTAGACTATATTGGAAAGTCGTCTGGTGCTGGTGCTCTTAGCATATGGACACACAATCTTAAAGACATCCAGTTCATCAAGAACTACAAATCCACAAAGTACGACGGCCCAGCTTTCAAGGCTGGTGCCGGAGTCCAAGGGTTTGAAATCTTGGAAGCTGCTCGTGACCACGATGTAACTGTTCTGGCTGGTATCTGTGAGGTAGGTTTTGTAAAAGCATACAAGATATTAGGCGACCGATTACTAACGTTCAAATGTAGACAGTTGGATGGAGTGGCGGCTATGTCGCCGGAGGTGGCCACTCACCTCTCGCATCCATATACGGTATGGCTGCTGACCAAGTTCTCGCCTATGAGGTTGTCACCGCTGATGGACGCTTCGTGACTGCCTCTGAATCTGTCAACTCTGATCTCTTCTGGGCCCTTCGCGGCGGAGGAGGTGGGACTTTTGGCGTTGTTACGTCTGTCATCGCTAAAGCCCACCCCAGAATCCAGGTCACCAAGTCCGTCTTTTCATACCAGGCTCCGGTCAACGATTCCGAAAACTTCTGGAAGGGCGTCAACGCTTATATGAAGCGCTTCCCTGAGTTTACTAATGCCGGTACCTATTCATACTTCTGGATCTGGAATTACGGCACCTCGCTCGATTTCCAGATGACTCCCTTCTTTGCGCCAAACCATACCATTGAGTCTTTCAATGCGCTGACTAAAGAGTATTTCGATGACCTCAAGTCGTTCAATCTCTCGGTAACCCCAAACACTACTTACTATGAGGACTTTTACTCTGCCAACAAAGGATCATGGGGCGCAGATACTCTTGGTGTGACCAACATTCGTCAAGCTACCCGCCTTTTCCCAAAGAGTCTTTGGGAAACCGAAGCGAAGTTCAACTCTTTTTACACCACGATCAAGGACACAGTGATGAAGGGCCACACTGTCGGTGGCTACCATATGGCTCCAGGAAATCCCTCCAACGTCGACAATGCTGTCAATGAGGCGTGGCGTAACACCCAATCTTTCCTCATCACTGCCAATCTGGTTCCCGAAGATGCCACGGCAGCTCAGTTTGCAGAAGCTTCCGACTACCTTACCTACGACATCATGGACTCTTGGCGTGCGGTTGCTCCAGCTTCCGAGGGTGGCGGTGTGTACCTCAATGAGGCGGATATTCAAGAGCCAAACTGGCAAACCGACTTCTACGGCGCGAACCACTACCCTAAGCTCCTCGAGATTAAGAAGAAGTGGGATCCAAAGGGTGTGTTCTATGCTACCACAGCTGTTGGCAGTGAGAATTGGGTTGTCAAGGATGGCGATCAGGGCGCTCAAACTCAAAATGGTCGCTTATGCCGTGTATAGTTTCTTGTTTTGCGATGTTTCAGGGAGATTGTCGAAGAGAGCTTGTTACTGCTAGCCATGGTATCAGTGAACATGGAACTTTGTAGTCACCCTGCACCGTTCCTGAGATGCTCTATTCTTGCGTGAGGTTGTGTTCACTACCAACTGGGTACCCTGATTTTGATCTCCGTCTGTCTGATGTTGATTGTTCCGAGAGTCTCCAGAATGTTTGTGTCTAAGAGGTGTTAGTTTAGATCCTCTCACGTGATTCACATTCACTTATCAGCGCCCCCCTCCCACTATATATACCCAGGCTTCCTCCTACTTACATTAACCAACACTGCATCTCTTCTTGCTCTACAAGAGGGGCTCTTGTGAATAATGTTATTTTCGCCTCTTAACGCGTTGCACCTTCCCCACCCACTAGCGCAAAACAACAGACGCGTCGCAACACAACGTCATAAGCATGGGTTATCGCCCGCGTCAGATCAGGGCATGCCGATCAGTAATGAAGCCAGGCTGCTTTTCGAGCTTGAAAACGGGCTGGTGACGGACAGTTGCGATGTTGTGCGGTATACAGGATTTTCTTTAGACGCAAATTATTCACCTTACATCTCATTTACGTTGTGCGCGTCAAAGCGCAATAAACGTGTCGCGCAAGTACAGTATCTGATTCATCTGTAGGCGTAAGATACGCACCTTGATTGATAACGGTGAGATGAAAGTCGGCGAGTTCCAGAAAGAGGTCAATATCACTCCCAATGCATATTCGCGTTTCATGAGCCAGCACGGGAAGGACAAGGGATCCGAATCTTCCGTATATCTGGCAGCGTGGGCATTCTTCAAGACGCGCGAGATCCAAGGCATCAAAACAACCCCGAACAAGAAGGCGAAGAGTAGCCAAGGACCCGCAGAAAAGGATAGCGTACCCAGTATTGACGACATCGAGCTTGACGGCGAGAAGGACGATAAAGTGCCCGTATTCGGTGAGCTTCGTGACTTCACTACAAGAAAGCTATATACTGAGAATTTGGTGAATAGACACATGCGACGACGTCCGTAAGAAGATCAACGCGCACCTCAAAAAGCCCGGTGTAACACAGGCGGTAAGTTGTAACTGTACGAAACGCATGTGAGACATACACTAACTTCGTATCCTCACATATGTAGGCATTCCTTCGCGCAGCCTCCACATCCTTCCACAATCCGCCCAAGACCCTCAACGCCCGCCAACTATCTGCTTTCCGCAGCAAGAAGGGAGCATTGAACGGCAATACGTCTGGTGTGTTTTACGGTGCTTATGTCTACTTTGAGAAACTGCGTATCAAAGAAGGCAAGCCCAAGAGCAAGAAGAGGCAAGAAATGGAAGAGATACATGCCAAAGATGGCGGTTTGGATACGAAGCGCATGCAAGACAGGCTCCTGACATTGGCGGGTGATCATTGGCACCATGACGCTTACGGGAGGACCATTCTCAACGGAGAGGTTCTGCTTTGAGAGCGTAGAGGAATAGGTGCTTTGCTCGCTAATGTATTTGTTCGATATGCCGCAGTAACAGACTGGTATGTACATGACGCCCAGCGTGTGTGGGTGTCGGATGAAGCTCAACGCCATGAACGCCGATGCTTGAATGTGTGAAGCCGCCGCGGTAGTATAAAGCGCTCATAACGTCGCTGCTGCCTCAACAGCTCCAGCGAGCTTGAATGTCTTGGGACTCGAGAAGACGACTTCGACAGGGTACTTCCATTCCATGAATTTGGCCCATCCTAGAAATTCGTTAGCAACCTGCAATGCATCCGTCCTCGTGGATATGGAAGATGACGTACCCCAGTAAGCAGCCTTTCTGCCAAAGTATTTGCCCAGATATGGCACCATGACCATGGTCAACAACAGCTCCAGTTGTTGCAACGACTCTTTCCATTCCCGGTCTGCATCCGACATGTACTCTTCTTCGTCGGCTTCGGAGCTCGTTGCAGAGGACGGTAATGAATCGATGTCGTCGGGAGAGTCTGGCTCTACGAAGCTCTCGCTGTTGCTCATCGACATGGCGACGACGGTGTTGGGCGAACGAGAAGGAGGATAGACGTATGGCTCGCTCGGCAGGCTAACGTAGCAGCATCGGCGGAAGTAATAGGGTCGCGACAGTAGATGGAGTAGACGCGTTCGGCCATGCAGTTGGAGCGCTACAGCCAATGAGCGGAGGTGGGGCTTAGCGGCAGCCGGCACGTGACGCAAATCTTGGCTCAGAGCGTTCGACTCACACATGTGTTGCGGCGAACTTTAAGGTGACGGCTCGCCCTACTCTTCGACCCACCACCCCTACATAATACAACCTACTCCGAATCCGTAGCACTACACTGCGACTGCTCCACTGAAGATCGAAACCCAGACTACAACCGCAATCATGGCTGACACTGTACGTCATTCAACCCCACGTTCGCTGTCGAAATATCCTGTGCACGAGTGGTGGGCAGCCTGCATGCCAGCTGCCTAGCCTTCACTTTCCTGCATCTTCTACAAAGAGCGATGTGCTAACGGATCTCTGTAAAGGCCGATCTCCCTGACCGCAAACCCCGCAAGTCTGTCCAATTCTCCGAAGGTGCCACGATTGTCGACAGCAACGGCGACGTTACAGAGTCACTAGAGATGAACGGCGGCAAGGACTCTGCCGAGGGCCACTCCTCAGGTGGTGGTAAGATAGCCCACATACTGGCAACAGATCAGTCGCTGACAACAATGGCTGTAGGCGACGACAAAGAGGTTGAAGAGGTTACCGATATGTTCGCTGATCTGGCAAAGAAGGTGAGGGCGCAAAAAGCAATGGTACTGTCAACAGACCACTGACAGAACCACAGAAGAAGAAGAAGTCGAGCAAGAAGAAGGAAGGCGAGGACGAGGACGGCGCAGAGGGCGACTTTGCTGCACTGAAGAAAAAGAAGAAGTCTAGCAAGAAGAAGGTCGAAGACGACTTCGAGGCCAAGCTCGCTGCCGCCGGCGGAGACAAGCCCGAAGGCGAGGAGGAGGTCGCTGCCCCCGAACCCGAAGTACAGGAGGGCGACATGATGAAGGGCACCGGCATCTGGCAACACGACTCGACGACTCCCATCTCGTACAACCTCCTCCTGAACCGCTTCTTCACGCTCCTCCACGCGCAACATCCCGATCTCGCCAGCTCCGGCACAAAGAGCTACAAGATCCCGCCCCCACAGTGTATGCGCGAAGGCAACAAGAAGACTGTTTTCGCCAATCTTGCCGAGATCTGCAAGCGCATGAAGCGTTCCGACGAGCACGTTGCCCAGTTCCTGTTCGCCGAACTGGGTACGAGCGGTTCGTTTGCCGACCAGAAGCGTTTGGTTATCAAGGGTCGCTTCCAGCAGAAGCAACTTGAGAACGTCCTGAGACGGTACATTGTCGAATACGTGACATGCAAGACCTGCCGCTCGCCCGACACGGACCTATCCAAGGGTGAGAACCGTCTCAACTTCGTGACTTGCAACAGCTGCGGATCAAGGCGTTCAGTACAGGCCATCAAGACTGGTTTCTCTGCTCAGATCGGAAAGAGGCGGAGAATGGTGGGCTAGAGGGTTTGTGTTATGCGCTTTACGATATTCAATGTTATGCATGGCTTGGGCTGGGTTTTCTCGATAAGCGGGCGCTACGGCTGTTGCTGTTATGACGCTTGTTCGGCGGATGAGAACGGTCATGATCATGATGGATTCAGAGCAATGTCTGCGGGATAGTTCACGTATATTTGGGATGAGTCAAAAAGGATACAGTATGATAGAGGTCAAAAGAAACATGCTCATTACGTGTTGTGTGCCGTTTGGTAACTTGGTGCAGACGCTGGCAGATGACATGCAGACTAGCATTTGTCATTTGAGATGATCGTGGGCGCTTGCATGCCGTTCCCAACTCGGACCCTGATAGCTTGCGGTGCGTCCCGGAGCTCCCCTGCGTCGTGGATGCATACAAGCATGTTTGCTTCCGTTGCTTTCCCATGTCCTCCCCATTAAAGATAGCTCCCCGCGCATAAACCACTTTATGCTATTCTCTTGCTCACCCGTCGCACAGCCTTGGCACAGCTCAGAGCGACAGTTGCGGGGCGCTGATTCGGCGGCTCGAGGCACCCCGCTAGCCAACAGCTGCGCGCTGGAGGCTGAGCAGCTTGACCAAGGAAGACACCAACGGGGGCGCGCGGTTAAAACGTCTATACTGCATGTGGTGCTGATGCTTCCGTAGACTAAATCAATTCCTTCTCCGCTCTCCTTCCCCCTCTCGTCCTGTAGTTGTGCGCGTGCGTGTACTGCTAACATCTACTCCTGCGTCGTCTTCCGGGTGACTACCATAGTCGCGTCGACTTGGTCTCTGCAGAATTGGGAGCTTGAGCATGTCGGGATATCAGGGAACGCCACCGCCAGGTGGGAACTACTACCCTCGTGAGTCGCATATCGCAGTACATGGGGAGGTCAACTGACACGATACAGCTCCGCCAGGTACATGCCGCCCCCTCTCGTATCCTCTCACCAAACGTCGATTGTTTGCTCACTTAGCTCCTCATGCCACAAGACTTGCACCCCTGAACAGCAACCTAACGCATACCAGACCAACAGCCCCAACAGCAGTACTTTGCCCCTCCTCCAGGAGGCCAATCCTACCCACCACCGCCCACATCCCCTCCCGCACACCAACAACAACACTATCCCCCTCCACCGGGCAGTAACCCCAACCCACAGCCACAGTATGCGCCGCCGCCTGAGAAACAACAGTATGCGCCACCACCCGAACAACAGCACTTCCCACCACCGGGCCAAGCACAATCGCCGCCCCCTCATCAGCAGCATCCACAACATCAGCAGCAGCCGATGAGCCCTGGCTTCGGTGGATTTCCTGGTGGAAGTCCAAGTGCAAGCCCATACCGGGACGAGCAGTCAGGATATCCTGCTGAAAAGACAGGACATCCAGGTATGGGACAGTCGCAACCGAGCCAACAGACCATACCACAGCAACCGCAGTACGTAGGCCAAGCAGCGCATACCGGCCCTGCAAGTGCCTCAGCAGATGACGTAGGAACCTTCAATGGAGGAAGTTATCGTGTGAGCCATCGGGACACAAATTCGATCCTCACAGTGCAATTAGCGATCGGATGTCCGTTTACCGCGAAACCTGGTACGTCTTGCAGCACATGTTCCATATCTAGCCGTTACACTGCGCAAGAAAAACAGAAGAACCACTGTCTAACAGATGAAATCAGGTGCAATGATAGCAATGTCCCCCACCATGACGCTGAAAGGTAACCTGAAATTCTCCCTTAAGAAAGCACTCATCGGTGGTGACATGAGCAAATCTACATACACCGGCCCCGGTGAACTCCTCCTCGCTCCTTCCTCTATAGGCGACATCACCATCATCAAGCTTGGTGGAAAGGAACAGTGGTCGGTGGGCCGCGACGCCTTTCTAGCCTGTACACAGGGTATCGTAACCGAGTACAAGAGCCAGGGCATTGGAAAAGCCATGTTCAGTGGTGAAGGACTGTTCGTGTACAAGATCAGTGGTACGGGTGTGCTTTGGGTTACGAGCTTTGGTGCGATCATTAGGAAAGATGTAAGCTCCATCCTTGGATACCTTCCCATGTTAGGTTCTATGGTTCGTTAACGTTGTCTCAATTTAGCTCGCAGCCAACGAGAAGTACATCATCGATAACGGACATCTGGTCGCATGGAACTGCAAATACGTACTCGAGCGTGTTGCTAGCGGGGGTATCATCAGTAACATGACGGCGGGCGAGGGGCTCGTGTGCAAGTTCACGGGACCAGGGACCGTGTTCATGCAGACAAGGAACGCGGCAGCGTTTGGGCAGTGGTTAGCTGCCAATGCTGCGGCTCCGTAGTCGCAATTTCACACGACAAAGGTCTGGATAGTAGAGAAGAATGAGTGATACCATTACCGCAACTAATGATCTAGCGACATAGGAGTGAACCAGCCTTCATTTCGGCACAGCCAAATTCTGCATCCCCTCCACCCTCTGAACAGTCCCAAACCTCTTCTTTCCCTGATCGAAAATCGCATAAACGCCCTTAAGCCACGTATCCCCGAAAATATCAAACTCACTCTTTCCACGTGATTGTATCCCCCCGTACTGCATGCCCGCCCCACATTTCGCAAATCCAAAATCTTCTTTTTGTACTTCAAATTCCTTGTCACCCACTGCAAGTGCCAGAGTAGGAAGATCAGAGATTTTTGTTCCGATGGGGAAGGTCCAACCTTGATGCGCTTTATCGTACACAGCGCCTGGGATAGTGCTGTATATCTTCTCGCAGAGTGCGTCGTCAACAAGGGCCAGTGTAGTTCCTGTATCGGCGATTGCAGTATTTCCGGGGGGTCGTTGGATAATCTCGCCGTTGAGGGTAGCAGTTGGGGAAGAGAACTGCCAGAAGCCTTTTGATGGATCGATGGGCACATAGTGTGGTTCTGAGACGCCGCAGCGCGAGAGGACTTATTCGTCAATGTAGCCGAACGTATAGAAGGATTCGCCATGGTCGACGTCGTTTTCATCGCGCCAGGAGCCGAGATAACAAGTGAAGAGCTCTTGGGAGGAGGGGATGTCGGATTGGAGAATCATCTAGGGGTGTGGTGAGTCTCCAGTAGGGAAACGAGGTCAGCATAGATAAACTGACCTGCTCTACGGGTGTGGCGACTTTCTTTGGTTTGACGGTGTTGATGTGACCGAATGCCAGACCTAGCAGTCCGTCGCCTGCACCAGAAGTGAACTGCGGGCTGAGTTTACTCGCAAGTTCGATGGCCTGGCCCTCGATACAGAGACCACCAAGGGTAACATTGTCCGTACCGACGATCCCAGAAGCCGTAGATCCTATCAAAGCAGTTATTCGGCTAGATTTTTCCAAGATGAACACACGGAGAGCAGTGAAGGAAATCACTAAAGAGAGTAACAGAACTTACCATCACCGTACCTAATCCTCCAGCTCGCCCCATTCATCTTCTTGAACGTCTTGCTAGCCTTCGCATCAAAAACATTATGTTTGCTCTTAATCCCGGCCACCTTGGTCTCCCTATCCAACTCCGTAGACCATAACTAAAGATCTGAGCTGCCCGTATCGAAATGCAAGTTCATGATTTGGGGCGGCGTTCCAATCTCGACAGGACAAATGTAAAGCGCGTCGTTCTGTTGATCTTCTGCTTTGACCTCGCCTGTTTTGTCGTCTTCAACCTTTCGCAACACGGGTGTAGTGGCTTTCTTGTCTTTAGGTTTGAAGAAGTTCTTCAAGTTCTTGGTTGCGACGTCAACCATTTGGAAGGGGCCTTCGGTTGTGGGTGCGAAGTCATATTTTTTCAGGATGCTGGCATACTGTTTCATACCTGCGCGTTCGCAAGCTAGGTTGGGGACGATGGAGATACGTTTTAGATTTGACATTGCTGTAAAGAGGGAGACCAGGTCTGATTGTTCGATTTAGTGTTGATAAGAATTGATACAGATGGTGTAACACTGCGGTGAGTAGGGTAGCGCGATAGCTGCTATCAGAGCGTGACAATAGTATCAGGGTATTGAGAGCGACAAAAGGCGTAGGTAGAAGGAGACTTTAATACGTGTAACCATGCGCCTTCCAGTCTTGTAACACGCAGCGAGATACCTGCCGTACATGGCGACTAGCTCTTACTTGTGGGGTATCCTATATGTTTGGCCTGACTACAAAGTATACTCTCATTCAAAGGTAGTCTTCCTCCCTTGCGATTCCACAATAGCTTGACTTGCTCTCGGCGCATTCGAATGCGCTGCACCACTCTTGATGGTTCTCGGATCAACCTTGCGCTTGAAATCCCGTCCGCCATTGCCCTCTCCTCTATCTTGCCTGCTTCCCATATCATCTCTACCTCCTCTGCCACCTCTGCCACCACCCCTGCCACCACCTCTGCCTCTTCTTTGATCTCCGTCGTTGCCAAAATTCTTCCATCGGTCGGGATTGACTCCGTCCACAGGCTCGGCCTTGCCAAAACGTTTATCATACCTCGTTTTCGCGTCCTCGGCAAATTCACGACGCAACTCTCTGCCCATCAGTTTGTTGACTAGCCATTTCCTTTGCTTTACGGGTTTATTGGCGTCCTCTTCGTCACTGCTCTCATCCCTGTCCTTTTTGCTCTTGAACGCAGATGGATCTTTGAATACGAAGCCTTTGACCGCTGCCGTTGCAGCTTCCACGTCGCCGAAAGTAACCCAAGCATATCCCTTGCACTTGCCTGAATCTTCAAATGTTGCCATATGAATGTTATCGATCGCTCCACATGGGGCATAGTGTGCCTCAAGGTCTTCCTTTGTAACATCGAAGGAAAGGTTGCCCACGAAAATGCGCTTGTTCGGGGGATGGCCTGGTTTAGCACCCTTGCCCCCACGGGTGTCTTGAGTCTCCTCTGTTTTGGGCTTGTCTGGGCGTCCGTCAAAGCTCTTCGCGTTCTTGATGAGTAGCGCGCGTCCATCCATCTTCGTCTCTGTCAAAGCAATCGCTGAGTACATTGCCAGCTCTGTAGAGAAATCCACATATGCAAAGCCTTTGTTCGTGGGCTTGGTGGTCCAATTGGCGGGAGTCGGCTTTGTCGGTGGGGGCATGTGGACGCGTGTTATTTGCTCACTCGCAATCTCAGTATTATCGGTCAAGAACTTTCGCAGTGTCTCCCTGGTGGCAGACCATGGCAGGTTACCAATCCAGACGCCATATGCTGAGCGCTGTGCAGCCGTGTCCTTATCCTCTCTCGCCGCCCCGTCTATCTTCGCAACCGCTTCTGGTCCATCTACGTCGGCGGCGGGTGTCGGGTTCAGTTTCGCCTTCTTTGCTTTACGAGCGGCCTTCTTTGACGCGGGTTCGGGAAGACTGATGTCGATCTCGAGCTCTTCGGGAAGTATCTCACGTTTGCGCTTTTTCGCTGGTGTCTCCGCTTCATCTTCGGTGGCATCGGCCTGCGCAACCTCAGCGTTCGATTCTGTCCTCGAGCGCTTCTTCTCTTTCTTCTCCTTTTTCTCCTTCTTCTTTTCGCGGCGCTCCTCCTTTGAAGCGACGGCGACTTCGTCGGCAGAAAGCATCTCAGTATCTTTCGACATTGTAGCGTGGGTGATGTTGCGTATCAATACTTTAGGTCTCTAACTTTTTTCTGGGGCACTTTTTCGCTAGTAGGTCCGCGCTAGAAGACCCTGGCTTAGTCATGTTCTAAGAAGAACACCAGATTTCTGCTCCACAGTCGGATCTCTTTGGCCATGAACGATAATAGCATCACGAAGTCACAAGCAAATATACGTTCAACAAGACTCCAATAGATTTACTACACATATGGAAGTTATTTAGAAAGTAAGGAAAGATCAAATTGAGCCAAGGTAGGAGAGCCGTAACCGAGCCAGAGGCAATATAGAACCCCACTGACATGTCCCGTCGAGGTGTATTGAAGCGCGCGCCAGCGCCTTCCGTGTAGGGAGTGTTGAGTTATTCCATGTTTCCCCAATTGCACTCCTTTAGACGCCCCCATAACCCAGAAATCCGAACGCTATAAACAATGATCTGGAGCACTCCGCTTACCTTTATGCTTACGAAGAATGTAGCTCGTCAACAGCCGTGCTCGATCTGCTTACGGCATCTCCTCATCGCTAGCATCGAGGATGTCGTATTCCTCGTCGGTCATGAAACCGTCATCGGACATTAGTGCAACACTTTCGGCATCCTCGAAAAACTCGTCATCCGAAGCGACGGTGACGGTACGAGCGACTGTACTCTTCTCAGACGAGGGAGACATGGGCTGAGCAGTAGTAGAAGACTCATAGGTGCTCGACTCAGGGGACTCTTTGTCTAGCTGAGGGAAAATCATACCGGAAGCGAGAGGCTCAGATGAGCGCTGCTTCTCCTCAACGGGGAGTTCAGCGACTGGCTCCTCAGGCTTGATCTCAGCCTTGGATGGAACAATCGGCTCCTGGTTGATGGTGGCAAGAGCAGCTTCGTGTTCCTTGCGGCGGTTCGTTTCCTCATGAACCTTACGACGGCCCTCTAGAAGACGCTCCATAGCAGCCTTGCGCACACGCTGGACACGCTCCATCTTCTGTTGGTCCAGTTGTTGTTGCAAAGAGTGGTGCGCATCCTTCATCTTCTGCAGGTTCATTTGCTGTTGCTGAGAGTGTTGTACATGCTTCATCCTCTCAGCTCTAGCTTGTAGGAGGCGCTCGTAAAGAGGATTCGATCGAGGGGCAACCTCAAACGTGGTAGCTGAGCCTGGGGTAGGAGTAGGGACGCTCTGGACTGGCGCAGGAGGAATCGCTGGCTGGGCGACCACAGGGGAGGGCACGCCAACGACGGCAATATCACACCACAGACGATGACCGAAGGGCATACCTTCAGGGGTCTTCAAGCGCCAGTAAGAGATAGCAGTGCCCTCACGTTGGGGTGCCTTCATAAGAACACGGAACTGAGCCTCCTCGCCGGCCTCGACGGTATGTCCGAGTATGTTGCTTTCGCTGGCCTCTGCGAGATCAGTGTGGCTCAAGGGACGCGTGTTGTCGATGTTGAGCATGTTGTCGCCACCAACGTGTCGTACACTGCATCCTCGTGGCCAGGCGTTAGGGCCTGGGTTGCGCAGAGTCCATACTTGAACAAACTGGTGGCCTGCACAGATCTTGGAACCGTCAATGATGGTATCTCGAATGAAGTGTGCGTCAAGGCCCTCGGTAGCGGTATCCGATCTGGCAATGGAGATAGCTTCCGACTTGATGGGCACCGTAGGCTGGATAGGCTGAACAGGCTTCTCTTGCACTGGCTCTACAGAGTCGACGAGCAGATCACGAATAGCGATCTTCTCCTTCTTGACTTGAGGCTCTGCTGAGGGCTTCATGTCAACAATGGTCTGGACCTGAGTCGCAGCGTTGGTAGAAGGAGCGACAGGGGTAGTCTCAGTCGAGGTAGATCGCCTGTCAGCAATGCGATCACCAAGCCTAGCAACGGACTTGTGCTGCTTATCATCGTTGAGAGTCGTGACGCTAACGCTGCGCACAGGTGTCTGGAACTTGATGAGTGGATGAGTGTGGTTGTGCTTGTTGCTGGGATGAGCTTCGCAGTTTTGGCAGAAGTCGGTGTCGTGACAGACTGCACACTTGTAGCGAATGCCGTCAATGTATGACAGGTTTTCCTTATCCTTGCAGAGAGGACCGTCACAGTAGATACCGTAGTGGCGGTTGGCGGTGTTCATGGGCTCAGCCAAAGGCTCATAGATAGGTACGAAGCGGTGACGGGGGTGAATGAACTTGGCGTTCTTGAGACAGTCAGAGCAGTAATCCCAGTCTGGGCAATTCAGGCACTTGTGGCGGACACCGTAAATGAACTTGTCGCAGCCATCGCAGACAGCGTTGTGACGAACATTCCTGCCGGAATTGCACAGGAAATCCGCCAGAGTAGGAAGCACAGTCTCGGATGTGGCAGGCTTGAAGGTATGGCCAGGATGGTGACCATGCTTATTGCTAACATGGCAAGTCAAGCAAAGGTCGTAATCATCACAAGGGATGCAGGTGACGAACTCCTTCTCGGGGAGCACGGTGACACAGCAGTTACAGGTGCGAGTGGGCTCCTGTTCGTAGGTAACAGACTGCTTCTCATCGGTGAAAGCTCCCGGAATATCCTGCTGTTGGGGCTCCTCGGCCTTGACTTTGGGTGCGATGCGCTGGGTAGTGCTGTTGACGACACTGCCATTCTTGACGAAGCGCTTGACCATCCAGTGTCCGCTTCCGGGGCAGTGAACACCGTTGTCGACACAAGCAGGGCAAAGGTCGTAATCGCCACCATCGCATACGCTGCAATGGAAGTGCTCGTCCTCCATGGGCTCGTTGCAGTTGTTGCAATAGACAACCCACGAGGTGCATACATTGCTCGGCTTGGGGCGGAACGCAAGACCCGAGTTATAGTTGGCAGTTGCAAGGTTGTTGAAGAAGTCTGTTATGGGTGTTAGCTAAGTGTTGTACGGCAAATCACGTTCGCGTTGGTGCTTACTCTGACGGGCAGTGAAGGCCTGCGGTACAGGAGCCTCGCCGTCAGCATCTGCCGTCTTTGGTGGCGACACAGGACTGATGGCCTCCTTCTTTTCCATGTCCGGCGAGCGGGCAATTACCGGAGAAACAGGTGCATTGCCCTGTGGAGTGAGGGTATCTGAGCTCATGCGGTGAACAGATGGCGCGTAGCCTGGAAGCGTATGTGGCGGCATCGGCGCGGGTGCGGGCGCAGGTACGGGCTCTTCACCAGGAACGGTAGCTCTCAAACGCAGCTTGAGTTTCGCCTTTGCGGCGCGGAAGAGCGTCTTGTAAACCTGGGGTTTGTCGGCGTCGAGGATGACATACGAGGCGGCGGAGTCGGAGTAGCGCTCGAATACGACCTGCTCGCCAGCTTCAAGCTGGAGGATGCTTCGGAGCTAAACATGGGAGATCAAGTTAGTATCGTCCTTCTTGAGCGCGTTTGGTCGTATATCCAGGCGACCGAGCCGATCGCCTGAGCATGATAACCTGTGGTAACGAGCAACTACGGACCTTGTCGGGCAGCACATGGGCTCCAAGATCCTTCAGAGGCAGCTTGAACTTCTTTGTCTGGCCGCGGAACAGGACCTTGACCACGATAGGCGTGTCCAGAGTCACGGGGACGTTGTTAGTCGCCGCCATGATGGGCGAGTGAGGCTGGCGATGAGGGTGAGAGTAGTAGTCAGAGCGACTGCAGCTAGCTTGCCGCCGCTGTAAGGAAGATGAAGAGGTGCAGCAACTTGAGTGTTGATGTTGCTGTCGAGGCTGGTTGATGGAGTTGGGTTGAAGGCGGAGGTGGAGCAGGTGAGACGGCGGAGCAGCTGGAGGTGTAATGGTAGCTGCCTAAGAAGTGGGGTCAGTGCGTTAGTGGACGCCGGGGCGCGCGCCAACCTTCTCGTACACCGGATTTCCAATGCTCGCGTCGCAGCGAGAGCGAAAGGCAGACGTTGGCTTTGTAGTTAGGTTCACTTGTGGGCTGAGGGACTGATGGACCGTCTGGCTTGTGGCAAGGTACTCTCGACTGCTATCGCTCGCGTTTGGCGGCTTAGAGTTGGCTGGCTTCTACCCTTGGAGTTGGTCAGTGGTCCGCTACCACGAAAGGCAGCCAGACACGTCGTCAGCCGGTGAGGAGCCGCGAGAACTCCGCCGATTACTATCACTCTTACCCGCCTATGCAACATCCAAGAAGGCTATTGCTCAAGATGATGACGTGATGGTCCGGCTGCACGTGATGATGAAGCACCGTGGGCCAGGTGATCATCCATGATAACGTTTCACAAATGCGATAAGAGGCTGCTAGCATGACGGCTCCCGGGCAGCTCGACAACGGCCGAAAGAGGCCGGCGTGTCTTGTTTCGCCTCACTAAACATGTGGAAAGACACGACACCCCATGTATCGCATATCTTTCCCGCTCAAGGGTTTGATGCATCTGCCGAGTCTGCCATTGGTCGCTCTGTTTTTCAGCCTCAATCCATGGCCAAGAGCGGCCACTGCGAGGCGCTTGTATGCGCACGCTCAATTCCCTTCGACATGTTGTGAACACCGAAATCTGTCTCATAGATGTTAATTGCGAAGTCGTATCATGTGCTAGCAATGGCCCCAAAGTATATGTCTTGGTGTAAACCTGGAAGGCGAATGGTACACTTCAAGATATCACCAAACTCCACAGACTCTGTCGAACACTAATGGAACTTATGCATTACTCTATTCACGGCAACGATTCGTCTCGATACTTTGCATTCGGCACTTCTGCGGTGGCCAAAGAGATAGGCGAGTGAGACTCCGATGGTTGTTGCAAAACGCAAGTAAGGGAGCCCTTTAGCTAAGACGCGTTTCTGAAGTGCTTCCGAAGGCAGACGTAATTGCAATCAGAACAGGTTTTCCATAGAATTTTAAGCCTGATATGAGACGGGTCTCTACAAGGCAAACACCGTGTATACAGATCCTGATTCCCAAGGTATCAATCATGTCCATCCTTCAACCCACTCCCATTTCCATTGCCACTCCCATGTCTCAACCCCTCCTACTTCCTCCCTTCAACCATGATGATATGATATCCCTCGCTCGTCTTCACCTCGCCAATCTTCGGGCTACCAGTTGTACTAGGCTCCAACTCATATGCTACCTTCTCGAAGTCCTGCATCAAGCTCCCTCTGACTTTCCAACCTAGGCTGCCACCTTGCCTCGCTTTGTCCTCACTCATTTCCCTGGCCACTTCGTCAAATTTTGCGCCGTTGCGCAGCTTCTCCAATGCTTCTTCCTTCTTAGAGTGCTTTTCGCAGAGTATGTGGCGTACGTTTATTGAAGTTGCTGGTTTGAGTTTTCCGCCTGAGCCTTTTCCCCCTTCACTTTTACTGTTACTGCTCTCGTCTTTGTCTTTTCCCTTGCCCTTGTTTTTAGGCGCCATCTTGGGATAGCGATGCGCGAACGAGGCTGCAGTGGTTTTGGAGATGTTGCAGTTACGATTGATACGTTGATCAAATGTTTTGGTAAGCAAGGTCTGGATTCGTGGAAATCGTATCGGTGAGTTTGCAATGTGGTAAAGTTATGCGCATGGGAGGCTTAAATTGGTGAAAGTGTACCGGAGCTCTGAGCTCTGCTGCGGGGCCCGATGCATCGGAGTGGGGTGGCGGCTATTTATGACAAGGATAACCTGGACACGAGAACGGAAGCACGGTGCACTTGTATGCGATTGACCAGTTCCATTATACTTAGATTGTATTGCTTTCGTGATTATGCACATGAGTCCTCATTCCTTGAGCTGCTAAGCTCGTCATGCCTTGCTATCGACTTCCGCCAAACACTACATAAGATATTGGCCGGTGTAGCTTTCCCACAGATGCTGCTGTCCCTTGCAGTGCATAATACGGCGGAGCGCGGCGCGGCGATGTGGGCTTTATTTAATCGGAGTAATTATACAATTCAGGGAGCCCTGATGCCCTCGCTGCTTCATCCGTTACCATTGACGATTGCTCGAGGCGCCGTTCCATTAATACCGTTCTGTGCGAGTACAATATCCATGAAACTTTTCCGAGGCTTCTGCTTCTTCTCCGGCTGTTCTTCGTTGTCTGCTAGCTGTATTCGCCGTCTTTTACACTCAGCGCGCATCTCGTGGAGTAGCGGTCGAAGGCTATCGACTTTCTCGACTTCGTCGTAAAGATGCGATTCTTCCACCCAATACAGGCCTTCCATGGCTGAAAACTGATTCTTGGCTTCTTTGATGCTGTCCTGGATCTTGGCGTAATCGAAATCCGGAGCGCCTTCCATGGGGAAACGGAAATCCTGGGCTAGGAGGGCCACGTCGTATTGACGGAGGATGGCATCTCGTTGAGCGCGGCTCACGGGAATACGAGACCAATCAGAATAAGGAGTGCTGAGGTATGCTAGATCAAGTTCTGGAAGTCCAAGTATGCCAACAGCCTGGAAGGAACAAATGTATGTTCTGTTTGGTATGGCCTGCGAGTTGCAGAGATCCTCCGCAGCCGCATAAAACAGTGGCAGGAAGACAGCCGATACGCCGAGTTCTTCGCCAGAGAAATGAAGCGGTCGATTTGTGCCTAACTCGCAGGCGCGCCGTAAGGCACGTGGGAGCTTGGAGATACGATCCTGACGTGCTAGCAATTCCTTCTGGCGTTTCTCTTCCTGATCTGCTCGACGCTGGGTCTCCTGCTCTTCTCGTATGCGTGCTGCCTCGGCTTCTTCTGCCTGGCGCTTAATTTCGGCTTCTGCTTCGGCCTTCTTCTTTGCTTCCTCGATCTCTTGAGTCTTACGAGCTGCCTCTTCTTCTTCCTTCCTTTTTGCTTCAGCTTCGGCCGCAGCTTCGGCGGCTTTGCGTTTTGCTTCTGCATGCAGCTTTTGTTCCTCTTGGCGACGTGCGCGTTCAACTTCCGGGGTCGCTATTCTTTCAGGAGGCACGGGCGTAGACTTGGCAGATGCTGTCGGTGTTCTCTTCATGCTGACATCATCTGTTGACGCATCAGATAACTTTCTTTTCCTGATTTTGTCTTCGACAGTCTTGTATTTGATCTTGTTCTTTACGACTTTGCGTTCATCTGGAGAATCAATCTCAGGCGTTGGTTTGGCACTGAGAGGTCTGGCTGGTTTGGTGCGAATCTTGGCTGGATGCTTCGTAGCAAGATCCTCGTCACTCTCGTCTGAATGTGCTCGATCTGCTTGTTTAGATTCGTTGTCATCCGACCGTACTTTCGCTGGTTTCTTGACTGGCTTCGCCTCTTCGCCTTCGCTATAAGATCGCTGCTTGATCTTTCGGGTGGGCGGTCGTACGTCTTCTTCGCTCTCTTCTTCTGATGAATCGTCGGACACAACTCGCTTTCTTCTCTGATCCTCCCTAGTTGCCTTCTCCTTCCCAGACATTAATCGCCGGGACTTTTGGGGAGCAGCGGGCACCGTCGTCGATTTTGCCAGATGCGCACGTTTCGACTCAACACGTGGAGAAGACGATCGTTCTCTTCGTGGCGACGCCTTTCTCTTCATGCGATTGGCAGAAGCGTTTGGCGCTTCTCTCTTGACTCTTCGAGGGCTCCGGTGCGTTCCTTGATACTCTTCACAGGCGCGCTTCAGCATGTCCCTCTCTTCCTCCCATTTCGGGCCATGGCGCTCCTCGGAGATTTCGTAGTACGTCTTGTTCTCTTTGTTTCGGCGAGTGGGGTTGAAATTGTCTTGCTCGAGAAGCAGTTGTATGATCTTGAGATATCCTCGCCCTATAGCAACTGTCATGGGCGTTTCTGGGTGCTTGGACGGGTCAGGATCAGCCTTGAGGCCACTCGCTAAGAGGATACTGAGAATGTCGTAATGTCCACCTCTTGCCGCTGCAACGCCACACGTAATGTTCGGCTTGATGTTACTATTGATCAACTCTCCTACTGCAAGGATATCGCCGTCACCGGCTTTTTCGATCAGGGTTTCCACGTTAAACTCGTTGTACAACAAGCGCGATGCGGTCTTGGCCTGCTTCTGGGTACGCTCGTGGTCGTTGGTAGATGTGTCTACCCGCCTCCTCATCGCTTCCCTGAGTTCCTTCTCAATCTCTTCTGCATCTTCATCTTCTTGATCCAGCACATCGATTGCACGCTGCCCCTTCTTGTTCGAGTGGTGTGGATTGACCTGGCCCTCGTTGAGAAGCAATCTGACTACGTCCAGGTGTGAGTTCTCCACTGCATCGATGAGGGGAGTGTCCCGATCGTGACTCTCGCAGTCTGTACGACAGCCTTTGCTAATCAGATACCGAACGACAGGTGCCCAGCCATGCAACGAGGCCTTTTGTAACGGAGCGATACCAGCGTAATCCGGTTGATTTAGCTCATCGGGAGCTTCTTCGAAGGCTTCCTTGACTGCATCAAGGTCGCCCTTTTCACTTTCTCGAGCGAGTCGCGTAGCGCCAAATCTATCGACCTTTCGCTGTGGCATGGTGCGTGCGGGTGAGGTCAGCGCACGATGCGTGGAGCGCTTTACTCGGGCGTGTTGCAGATGTGGTGCGGAAGTAGGCTGTGGTGATGTCGAATGATCTGAACTCGATCCTGACCAATGCTCTTCTGTTGACAGAGCGAGGTTGGTGACCTCGCGGCGCTTGCGGCCCGCGATGCCTGTGACGGCGGATTGAGTCGATTGCGAACGCTTGTGTGGACGACCAAACCCCGGTGTGCCAGGCGAATTGGGTGGGCGCGCGTCTTTCAAACCCTCGGTCCTTGCTTTTTGTCGCGGTGGTTCGAAGGCTTTGGGGAACGAGTCATCGCGCAGCTTGCGCTTGCGATTTTCGACGGTCGACGCGCTGCGGCCGCGGGTGGTGGTGTGTGTGGGAGAAAGGGCGGACCGGACAGGCGATTTGGCCGAGTCATTTGGGCTGGTGTCCTTGGTGTGTCGCGAGGCAGTGCGGCTGCTGGGTGAAGTAGGAACTGGGCTCTTTGCATCGCGCTCAGAAGCGTGCTTGACGCCATTGACCTTGACATGATTGTCGTTGCTCGAGCGGCGACGGCCGTTGGGATGGGGTGAATGCGCCCGCGACTCTTCCTTGATGGAGCGCAGCCGTGATGCATCATCGTTGTTCTCGTCGTCGTCGATGCGCTCCGTCTTGATCACCTTGTTCTCGACGGGGTCCTCGTCCCGTGACAGGACGACCGTCTCGGCCTCAGATTCGCCTTCGGCATCCTGGTCTTCGTCGTGGGCATGTTGGGATGGAAAAGCGGCAGCCTTGGGTGCCGGGCGTGGAGAGGGCGGACTGTGGGGGCGGTCGTGGTGAAAGGGCTTTGGGGCAGAGGGTGCGTTTAGGACCGGATCGGCATTACTGGTCATTACGCTGGGACAGGACACTCGAGTTCCTGCCTCATGCTGGCTTGCAGAGCAAGGGACGGAAGGTGCACAGCGGAGGCCTTTGCAGCACGATAGGTGCGGGCGGCAACAACAGGGCGCTTGGCTGTTGGAAAAGCTTCAAGGGATGTCGCGGTCGGGGGGTTGGTGATGAAGGCGCGTTGTGAGGTGTAGTGGAGGTCGAGCGAGCGACACGGAGAAGAGAGCTGAGAGGCTTGCCAGTAGCAGGCAGTGCTCCACCCACCATTCACCGGCCTGCACCATCCATGGGGGGCATGGATCCAAAGACGGCCCCGTCGCGACAGAAGGCAACCCTGCACTCGCCTTTGTGCTCGTCCCAGGCAGGCTATCGTGCATGGTGAGCGACAGGCAGCGCAACATGGCCATCACAGGGCGCTGTGGTCGCGACGTCTGATGTTGCGTGGCTCCATGTTCTGCCAGTCGGCCTCTCCCACTCACATGAAGCCGTCTTGTCTTGCCCGTCCCGTGTTCCTCGTCGCTCGCCAAACCAGCCGAAACAGGTCTCCCAAGGTTCCAAACTGCCGCTAAAACGGCCTTTGCCGCATTATTTAGCCCTCGTCATCTCCTGCCGGCCAATTTGTTTGGTTCAGTCGGTGTTAGCCTGAACCACTGAGGAGATTGGGCCCCATAGCACGTGATTCACTAATCGAACAAGCGGTCAGCACCAGTCAAGCCTTCATCATTCTGCCGTCACCAGCCCCAGGCCTTGTACACTCTCCAATACCATCCCACCATGGCCTCGCTATCGTTGTCGCTCGAGGACTTGCATTCGGTGGCTCTGCTGCGCGCCTTCTATCTCGCTGCATCACTTCTTGTATCGCGACACCACTCAGTCGCACCTGCAACCTCACTAATCAGCGTGCTTACTAGATCCTCGTCATCCAGGCCGTTCCTGCCCTGCGCTCTCGCTTTCTTGCCTATGGCTCTCGTGTCGCTGGTCTAAGCGGGAGGAAGGTGCTACCCGTTCAGCAGCAGCAGCAGCCAGCTCTCACCCGCATTCTCGATTACGCCGCCTCGCTGCAGGTTCCCCACAACTACTTCACCCATTTCTATATTACATCGGTGCTCTGTTCGCTGTTTTGGGCATGGAGACTACGCGTCTGGGAAGCTGGTGGGCAGCAGCAGATTGTCTGGGTGCTCATGTTGCTTCAAGGCCTGCGCCGCATGCTCGAGTCCTACGCATATACTTCAACGAGCAAGAGCCGAATGTGGTTTGCTCACTGGGTACTTGGTCTCCTCTTCTACACCACGATAAACATGGCCATCTGGGTTGAGACACCCAGCAACACTGTCGGTAATTGGGCATCCGTGCCGGGTGTCATCACAGCCCAGATGCTGCAACACTCTTACCACAGCTATCTATATCGTCTCCGCACCGAAAGCAACGACTACCAGCTTCCGTCGCATACTGTGTTTCCCAATCTCCTCTGCCCGCACTATACCTGCGAGGTCGCTATCTATGCGTTGTTGTCGCTCCTGGCAGCCCCAGAAGGTAGCTGGGTCAATTGGACACTAATCTGCGCGACTGTATTCGTCGCTACAAACTTGGGAGTGACGGCAGTAGGTACGAAGAACTGGTACGTGGAGAAATTCGGCGCCGATAAGGTAGGTCCGCGGAAGAGAATGGTCCCTGGGATCTGGTGAAGCAGTGCTTGCTCGCAGAGTGGAACGTCGTGTTCAAACTTATCTTAGGAACAACCTTTACAACAAACCAGCATTGTTCAAAGCCTATCACGCGTTACCCTAGAGTTTTGCACTTACAGTCTCTTTCTTTATCCATTTCGTGTTTCCAGTCTCCTAGTTTCCACCGTCTAAAGTCGCCTTTCTCCGTAGCGATGACGACAGGCGGGATGGAGTTGGCACTATCCGCGTCGTCTACGCCCTTGGGCCCTTTGTGCGGGGTATCTTGCAGCGAAGTGCCCCACTCTAGATGGTTGTCTTGGACAATTAACCCTATCCAGCAGATCGTCCTGCACTCCATCGTGCAGTTTCGTTGGTGGCTTGCTTATTGACATGGTAGTTGTCGACTAGGGTTCTGCTGCAATATAAGCCAGACTTATCCGCAGTTTACGGTTGAGATTTCACCCATCTACTATTCTTCGCCTTTACAGCATGTCTGAATCCGAAGCACCGAAGGATCTCCCTGAGATGGAGTACCGCTTCATGGGCAAGAGCGGACTGCAGATCTCTGCCATCTCGCTTGGTGGTTGGCTCACTTACGGAGGACACGTTGGCGATGACAACACATTCGCCTGTCTTAAAGCAGCCTTCGATGCTGGGATCAACTTCTTCGATTGCGCTGAAGGCTACGCAAAAGGCGAGTCGGAGAAAGTCATGGGCCGCGCTATCAAACATTTCAATTGGAACAGGAATGATATCGTCGTCTCCACCAAGGTAGTCTAGTCTTAACGAAACCTCGTGAAGACAGTGCATTAACTTACAAAGATCTACTGGGGCACTCACAACTCCGCCCTTCCTTCGCCCCGCAACAAGATCAACAATCTCGGGTTGTCAAGAAAGCATTTAATTGAAGCCACGGAAGCCTCTCTGCAACGCCTACAGCTAAGCTATGTGGACATTCTATACGCTCATCGTCCGGATCGCTACACTCCGATCGAAGAGACTGTACGCGCCTTCAACTACCTGATCAACACTGGCAAGACCCTTTACTGGGGTAGGTATCTCCATGTACTAGATGTATGTGTAACATACGCTAACTTCATACATCGCACTTTAGGTACATCCGAGTGGCTAGCATCGGAGATCGAAGAAGCATGGGCTGTGGCTGACCGCCTTGGCCTTATTGGGCCTATCGTCGAACAGCCAGGCTACTCGCTTCTTCGTCGAGACAAGGTCGACCAAGAGTTCAAAGACGCGAACCTCTACGGACGTCGTGGTCTTGGCCTCACAATCTTCTCCCCACTCCAAGGTGGCCTTCTCACAGGAAAATATGTAGACGGTGTCCCCGACGATTCGCGCCTCCGCCAGTCCGACGACCCTTACATTCAATCCGTCATCAAAACTGTCGGGAGCGACGCCTGGAATCAGCAACAAGACAAGATCAAGAAGCTCATGGACATTGCTAAGAAGCTTGATACTGACGTTGCTACCCTATCTATGGCATGGGTCTTGTCCAACAAGAATGTCTCAAGTGCTATCACTGGTGCGTCAAGGCCAGAGCAGATATATCAGACCGTCAAGGCGGTTGATGTGTACAGGAAATTGACAAAGGAGAACCTGAACGAGATTGAACAAGTCATGGGAAGCAAACCTGCGGAGCTCACCATGAGATTCGGATAGTTTCCTTGCTAGAAAAGACCTTCACCAGTGGAAAGTAAGTGTCTTGCACCTGCGGCTCGGATTTCCAGTACGACATTCTGGCAAGTTCATTACCCATTGATCACCTCAATATCATATGTGTCTTTGCGCAAATAAAATTCCTTCAGAATAAAAATGCTGTGCTAAAGCATGTGAGAATTGCCTTTTAGAAAATTTTAATAAGTGTTGTAGAGAACTTACCTGGCCAGTCCTTACTCCTCGTAGCAGCTGGTTCTGTCACGTGCTCTCGCGTCATGGTCCGTGCATTGTCTGCCTAAAGCAACAGGCTGCACCACTTCGTGGAGCGACCACAGGCTTTTCCACAGTGGTTGCTCTTCTTTCTTACCATCTTCTCATCACCTGAACACGTTCTCAATAGCCACGATTAGCCAATTTGTTCATCCCTGAAGGTCCATAACGCCTCGAAATTAACGGCACGCGACGCTAGTTGCCATACGCGAAGCGCGCAAAAGAAGCATCTGCTAACACGACTATGGCGGGTAAAGAGGCGACAGTCTATATACTCGATCTGGGGCGGTCGATGGGCGAGAAGAGGAATGGCCGCGAGCAGACTGACCTTGACTGGACATTGGAGTATGTGTGGGACAAAATCACAACTACCGTAAGTCGTCGTTCATTGGGAGATTTAGTATGTTTGATGTGCGGTAATGCTTCAACTCTTACACAAATGTCGGTTTCAAGAATAGATTAACAGCAATTCAGGTTGCCACAGGCAGGAAGAGCGCGTTGATGAGTGTCATTGGCTGCCGAACGGACGAGACCGATCTCGCTGGGATTATGGAAGAGGGTGAAGGGTATGAGAACATTAAGGTGTTCTCGGAACTAAAGTCGTATGTGCCACGTTAGAAGAGACGTTGCCCCTGCTGATAGACGTTAGATATCTACTAGGCGATGTTCGAATGCTACAAGAGCAACTCAAGCCAAGCAAAACGGACAATGGGGATCGTGAGTGGCAGACATTTGTGAAGCCACTTCTTACTAATAGCAATAGTACTCTCCGCCCTTGCGGTAGCTGTACACATGATTGATAACGCAACCAAAGGGACAAAAGGCAACCCATTAAAGTACGATCGTAGGGTCATCATCGTGACTGACGGTCGTGGCCAAATGGACACTGAAGACCTCGAGCAGATGGCTTCGAAGATCAAGGATCCAGATGCTCCATTCGAGATTATCCTGCTTGGTTTAGACTTTGACGACCCAGATGTAGGCTACACAGAAGAAACGAAAGAGTCTCGAAAGGTATGAGGGATGGGTGCCAAAGCTTGAATGGAGCTAATATGATCTAGGCAAAGAACGAGCAGATTTTGAAAGGCTTTGTAGAGGATTGCAACGGCAATTTCGGCACACTTGTGACAGCTATTGAGCAGCTTCATACCCCTCGCCTTAAGGACACCCGACCAGTCCAAAGCTACAGAGGCTCACTTACACTGGGAGATGCTAGCAAGTACGAGGCCACTATCACTATCGACGTTGAACGGTATCCATGTACCATGATTGCGAAGCCACCCACAGCAAGTACATTCGCAGTGCGTGCAGATCATGCTGGCGCATCTGGCCCAAGCGTGGAGTCATCGGCGACTGTAGTTGGTGAGGACTACCCAATGACTGATCTGTCAGCGGTCCACAATCAGCACCTCTACCAGGTGGACAACCTGGATGAGCCCGGCCTGAAAAAGCCAGTCGAGCTTGATGAGCTAGAGCGTGGCTACGAATACGGCAGAACAGCGGTGCACATTTCGGAATCTGACATGAACGTTGTGAAATTGGAAACCCAGCAGGCTCTGGAGTTAGTGGGCTTTATCAAGGGTGAGGAATTTGATCGTTATCTTCCCTTGAGTCGCGCCAACTTCATAGTGCCGCAAAAGGCCAACCCGCAAGCTCAGCTCGCTTTATCGTCCTTCATTCACGCACTCTACGAAGCTGATTGCTATGCGGTTGCACGTTTGGTAGCGAAGGATCTAAAACCTCCAGTGTTGCTACTACTTGTTCCGCGTATCGAGTTAGAGTGGGAGGCTCTAGTTGACGTTGAATTGCCTTTCGAAGAAGACATGAGACGATACAAGTTCCCGCCATTGGATTGCAAACTCACAGTCAGCGGCAAGACCATCACTGAGCATAAAGATCTACCGACAGATGAACTTCTCAATGCCATGAGCCACTACGTCGATGCGATGGACTTATCGACATTTGGTCGCGACGAAGATGGCAATGAGGAAGAATACGCCAAACCAGAAGACACATTTTCCCCCCTTGTCCATCGTATCCTCCAGGTCATAAAATGGCGGGCGACACATCCTGATCCCACCTTACCCATGCCAGACCCGCCGGAGATCCTGATGAAATACTCACAGCCACCAACAGAGCTCATCGCAGCGGCTGTAAAGCAATTGGATTCCGTCAAGAAAGCAGCAGACGTCAAAAAGGTTCCGCCAAAGGTCAGAGGTCGTGGTAAACGGCAACGTACAGACCGCGATAAGCCTCTTTCAGGCCTTGATGTTGACGAACTCCTCGGTAAACCCAAGCGTGTCAAGATCGAAACCAACAACCTCATACCTTCGTTCAAGCAAGCTCTCGCCGCCTCTGACGATCTAGACGCCATTCAAGAAGCCGTAGAAGGTATTGCGAAGGAAGTCCATAACCTCATTAGCAGCAGTATTGGAGACAACGCTTATGGACGGGCACTTGAAGCTATTCGCGTCATGCGAGAAGAGCTCACCGAGCTCGAGGAACCAGAGATGTACAACACGTTTGTGGTGCGGCTGAAGGAAGATATTCTTGGCGGAAAATTGAATGGCAATCGCCGAGATATGTGGTGGAAGATTAAGGGAAGTCGGTATGGACTCATCGACTCGAAGAAGAGTTACGTCAGTCCTGTCACGGAGGACGAAGCCCGAAGGTTCTACGAGGTTTGACAGGCTGAGCCGCCAAGCCCAACCGGTTTGCCTGGAAACGTAGTAGAGCAAGGCAAGCACTGCAGGTATCTGTATTACGACTTCGAGTTATCTACAATAGGACCATGGTTGCATGCACCGATTTATTTGTGCCTCTAGCTACTCGTACACCCGCTGTTTCTTTCTGCCGCCACGTTCCGTAGATTCGAACAACTGCAAGCCCAACAGCCAAATTTGCACATTTCGTGTCTGCAAGTTTGGCTCGTGCCCAAAGGCTAGCGCGCATGCTCGGGGAGCGTCGTTTCGTCATATGAAGTTCTCACTCACCACCACCTCGCCGCCCAACAGGCGCAACCATGTCCAAGATGTCCAAGATGTCCAAGCCCAGCTTCCACCAAGTTCGTCGTAAGTAGCTACAACTGTCTCATCATGGTTGTTTCGCGCACTTGAAGTGGTTGCATGCCGCCAGGGGGCTGGAAAGTTTGCTGTGCGATGCGGCTGACTGCTGTCCCATGCTTATTCGCTGCAGCACTGCCGTGCGACCATCGGACTCCGACTGACATCAGATGATGAGCCTCACACATGTAGAATTCCTACTGGTTGAAGGCCACTGCTCAGCCTCCAGGAGTTGCAGTTCAGCCGCGACGCCAGTGCGGCCGTTCCGAGGGCGTTGACCGGTCTTTTGGAAATCGCCTAGGAAATTCTATACTTTGAAACAATTCATTTCTTCAACATCGAACCTTGGGCTCCCAGACTCAAGAAAATGCATTAGTGATGCATGTTGTACGTTAGCTAAATCTGTGATACCTTCGACGATCTACAGCTATGGAGCCTTCAACCCTACGGTACTCATACTCACCTGCGTCTCCCGAGATCCGCGTCTCGAGACCACAGTATGCTTCCACACCTGCCAGAGCAAGCGACGAGTCCCCCGACATTGGGCGCGACATCCCATTGAGATTCGAAGAAGATATGAACGACCCAGGTCTAGGGATCCAGATGATACCTATAACAACGCCAAAATCACCAGGCGCTGCGTATTGGCGGCAGGAAACCAGTGATAGAAAGCATGATATGTTCTCTTCTGTCGCATCCTATCCTCAGCCACGGCCGTCGTACTCCAGAACGCCAGACACGCTGTATTCATTTGGGTCTGGTATCTCGAGAGCGCGAACAGATCCTATGACCGAGAGGCTCATTGCGCATCGGGCGACCCAGTCAACAAGATGGCATATACATTGGCGTATACCAGCACTCATGGGATTTGCTTTCTTCATGGGCCTCGTGTTTGCGCTCCTCCAGCACTTTTTGTACACCTTCCTGCACCAGAGGCGAGAAGACGATGAAGACAAGAAGTTTCGATGGGTTCTTTATGGGCGCGCGTTGGCATACCTCTCAAAAGTCGCTTTTGGGTCATGCGTGGTACTTGTCTTTCGACAGCGCATGTGGAGAGCTTTCAGAGAGCAGGCGTTGACTGTGCTGTCTATTGATCAGATATTCGGTGCAACAGAAGATCCTTCGCTCTTTGGGAACTGGGAAACTGTATCGGGTGCGCCGCTTCTGTGTGCCATCGCCATGGTTAGTAATTTGACGGGCGCAAGCCACATATAAACATACACTAATTGCGAACGCGGACTTGCAGGTTATCTGGCTGATTCCGTTGGCAACAATCATATTTTCACCCGGTGCACTTACCTTCGGAACCTATCTCGACATCGAAGTACTTGATCTTAAGGTTCCTACGCTCAACTTCTCGGTGGAGTCCACAAAAGATTGGCGACACCCGGTCAAGCTAGAGGATGGAAGCAACAAGAGGTCGATGATGTACTACAATACCACCGATCTTGCTGCCGCAGCCCCAGGGTGGTTTGACTATTACGATCAGCCATCAGCAGAGCTAAGGCGCATTGCGCTTCTGCTAGCATACAATGGTATGGATCATCCAAACATTAGGCAGGGTGCTCGACAAGAGGCTTGTGGAGGATCCTACAATTGCACATACGAACAAAGCTTCACTGGGCCAAGTTATCAATGCGAGGAGGTTGCAAGTAATTTTGACGACACGGAAGGATCAAATAATTCAGATGCGCCTTTTAACATGAGTATTCTAGCACCGCAAGGAAGCTACGTGTACTATGCGGAGGTCGACAAAGGTGCATACCCCCGCCCTCAAGCCGCTGAATTTCGGGCGGGCAACGGGGGAATACCTGTTGGAGAAGCCCCATCAGATCTAGGTGTTTTCAAGTCGGAACCTGTGTTGTGGATCGGTTACGCATTCAATTCGACAAAAGAGTTAGCGACAGACGACCCACTCGCAATAAACTGGACACATCGCTATGATTCACATATCATCCGCTGCATACATATGGAAGCTAGGTATACCGTCAAATGGGAATTCACTGAGCCATCCTTCAAATCCACGATTGAGTTAAAACACCAAGCGCCCGTCGTGGACACAGACTTTCCGCGTGGGGTTGACGGCAAGATAGATTACACTACTATGCCCAGGCCTACGGACAACTACATCAGCCCTCGACACAACGTGGGCGTTTACAAGAAGATTGCGGCATATCATGCAATCGGCGATATGTTTAGGGAGTTTCTTCGCGGACATGTCGATATTACGGCACCAAAACCAGGGCCATACTACGCACAAGTCCATTCGAACGTCACAATGACACGACTAGTGCAAAAAAACAGCGAGCCTAAGAACAATCTCACGGCTGAAATTGAGGCCTTCTATTCAGACATGGTGGTTTCATTGCTATCAGTACCAGAGATGTTGGTGGTAGCCGAAGAAAAACTCACAGTGAATCGGTCACGACTCCAGTCCTCTTTCGTCTACGTACCTGGGAGGTTATGGCAATGTTATGCGCCAGTCATCTTCGTTACTTTCCTCATTCTCTTGTTCGGCGCTCTAACGATTTGGCAAGATGGAACGACGTTCTCGACTGGGTTTTCTCGTATACTGGTTACTACTCGCAACACTACGTTAGATGATATCGGTCATGGCGCGTGTCTGGGCAACGATCCCTTCCCAATGGAGTTGATGCGCACCAAACTTCAATTTGGTGCTCTTGCTGACGGCGAAGAGGACTACCTGCGAAATGATGGTTATCAAGGCAGCGGTGGCCCTCTAGTTCCACATCACTGCGCTTTTGGCGTTGCTTCCGAAGTTGTGCCTATCGTCAGAGGTACGCCATATGCGGGTCTGAATCAGCGAAAAAGCAGAAGAAAGGTAAGCAAGGCAAAGATGGAAGTTGAGTAGGCAAACCTGTTCCTAAGAAGCTTTGGCGTGTGATCCATGAAACAAATTTATACTGATACTTGCTCCCATACCCAACTCAGTATATGCCAATGACCCTATTGACTGGAATATCGACACTCGTCATGTAACTCGCCACATCACTAAGCAGATACACGTAGTCGCAATGACCTGTAGTCTTGCCCCACGAAGAGTGTCGTGAGGAGCCGGACGTCTGCACGAGTGATTCATACCTCTAGCATCGTCTCGAGACACATACTGCATTAGGATTGGATGGAAACCTCAGCAAATCTGCCCATCCAACCGCTCTGCCACAATGCCTTCACCAAAAAGCCAAACAGTCCTTGCGTTTCACTGGATCCATCGATTTGCTTTTCGTCCATTTGCATGAGCATTCTAGTTGAACACGACGGTTTTCTGACCGTTCAAAAATACCCTCTTCTCACTCCACCATTTGACCGCCGCAGCCAAGACCTGACTTTCAACATTGCTTCCCTCCTCCACCAATTCCTTGGGGCTCAAAGCATGATCAACCCTCGCAACGCGCTGTTCAATTATTGGTCCCTCATCCAAATCGGCTGTAACAAAATGTGCGGTTGCCCCGATGATCTTAACACCGCGCTCATAAGCCTGATGGTACGGCTTCGCGCCCTTGAAAGAAGGCAAGAAAGAGTGATGGATGTTGATGATCTTGCCCGACATTTCTGTACACAGACGAGGCGAGAGCACTTGCATGTAGCGTGCGAGAACCACAAGATCGATGTTGTGTTGTTTGATCAAATCCAATATCTGTGTCTCCTGTTTCTCTTTGGTATCCTTGGTTACGGGTAGGTGGTGGAATTCGATACCGTTGTTCTTTGCTAGTTCAGCGAACTCGGGGTGGTTGGATACAATGATTGGTACATCAACCTTGAGTTGACCAGACTTGACGCGGAACAATAAATCGTTGAGGCAATGGCCGATCTTGGACACCATGATAAGGACCTTAGGCTTTGCGTCTACCCGCTGGATGTGGTACGTCATACTCATCTCCGAGGCGAGCTTCTTCATGCTATCTTGTAGTGCGGAGACATCAGGGGAGTGTCCAAAATGGACGCGCATGAAGAAAGTCTTGGAGTCTGGGTCGGAGAATTGCTGTAGATCCAGAATGGTGAGGTTTTCCTTCGCTAAGAGACCCGTGACAGCATACACAATGCCTGCTTTATCGGGGCATGACAGAGTAAGGTAGTGGTCGTCACCTGCCATCTTGGATGTTGAGATCCGTTCTGCGGAGCCAATTTGTTGAAGTCGAGGTACTGAGGTTGCTATGGATCGTCTGCTCAGATTCAGTGATGACTGTTTGGTCGAAAATTTAGGAACTAGGTTTTGCCGGTTTCGGGAAGCGTCGTTCGGTGGGTATATGGATTGTCGGGCCGCAAATGCGCGTGTTGATGTGTGGAGTGACCGTGTGCAGGTGCGTGCTGGACGTAGAAGCATTTTATGGCAATCTGATCTCTTTTTGCAAAGACTGGACGCGAAATGGCGTTTTCTCAATGCTGTGCTAGAACCTCTGCGGCTTAGGTATAGTTGCCGGAATCGGCCGACGATCTAGCCCTGTCGCTTACCAGTCGACTCGCGAGCGTATACGCGTAGGCAAAAATCTCTACCTTAATGCTCAAAACGTGCGAAAAGGTAGGTGAGACGTACCAATGCTCCATAAGTTTACTACCGAAGTACTTAAAACACTCGTGTGTTGGCAACAAGCGTATACAAATTCGACGAGTTAAAGACGTTTTCTACCTCGGGCGCCATGCGTACAATCGAAGACGATACTGTCAAAGGTAGAGACCAAGCAAAGATAGACTAGAAGATCGGAAAGGATTTCTCGCGAAAGCCAAGGCCGGATTGGTGGTCTTGAGATCCTCAGAAACCAACAATCGGAGCTCATCTCCTCCTGCTGGCGTTTGGGGCCGTGTCCGCGTCTCGATAACCGTGTCCGGCTAGACTATCTTTCCGTACATCCAACTATGATTACCTCTCGTGTTCCGTACAGTCCAATGCACTTGTAGATACATTGAGCTTCTCGCGACCCCTAGTGAGCTCATCTGCCATCGTAACCAAAAGCAATTTGATAAGAATCACTGGTGCATAGTTCAGTTGCCAAGTGTGTCAGTACTCAAACTGGATTTCAGACTAATCTTACCATGTCTTTGTATACAGTACGCCATCGAAGTTACTAATAGAATATGTTGTAGCTAGCATGCCAATCAAGAAGTCAACCACAGAGTGATTTCACCTAGCATCTATGTGCAAGAACTTAAAAACGTAGTCAGGTGTGCTGCGCTATAGAAAGATACAAGTTAATGCAGCCACAGAAGCGGAGAGTCCTTTATTTGTGCTCGAAGATTGGTAATCAACTGTAGTGCGGTAGCCAAATGGCCCAAGAAATTATAATTCTGTTCACATCTTGACCTAAAGATTGCTATACTGCTGGTATTCAGGTGGATGGTGCGTGCTGATCTTCCTGCAGTGGTCTTTGCGATTGATCGTAACTAGTAAAGCCGCCCCCGATAAACGTTTTGCCCACGAGATATGGTCCCTGATTCATTGGATTACTATACTGCTGCCAATTTGTTGACGAGCCGGTATCCGGGCGAAAAGACCAGAGACATCTCGACATCCCCCTTTTTCTAGATAGGCAAGTGTCAACGAGAGTATACCAACCCGCTCCCACAGTGTGGGACTAGACTGAGGTACTTTTCGCAACGTCAGGAACCGTGCCGCTCCATGTTCCGTATCGCAGAATCTTCCAGCAAATATAAGAACACTAATGAACTCGCCAGAGACATGCTTGGCGGTCCATTGTTGCTGGGTGATGGCGATCGACATGGCGGTGAAAGCAAGGCGACCCTTCTTGTGACCCATCCTATACCAATCCATGTCCTTATCAAAACTGTATGACATTTTTTCTTCACGACCGGGCCTTCCAATCAACTTCCCCCAAGACCACTCTCGATCAACATCTTTGATCCTATAAAAGGTATTCAAGAAGTACGGGTCTCTGATCTCAAGTGTTGATAACATCCCATCTGATAAGCGACGTATAGAGTCTCTGTCGAGCAGTCGAACTCGAGACTGACATTCAGGATGCGAAAGGTACATATTCGCCGCCCAAACAATATTGGGGCTTGTGGAGTTAATGAGATCACTCATATATGCCACGTATTCACGATCGGGGGGCAAGCGCCAACTAACCGTACCGTTCCAACCAGCCCACGTCCACGAAGGCAGGTGATTACGTCGTGTACAAGCCTCTGAGATGAACATGACATGATTTGGGCTTGCACGGTGATACCATGACGATAGCGATAAAGCGAAGGTGATTTGAGGGCTCGTCGCGCTTCCGGCAATGTCGCCTGTCCATAATGGAACTCCTTGGGATATAATTAGAGATTTGGTTTGCTCGTACATCCCGCAAATCCCCTGAACTACAGTTGAGTACGCGCAATCAGTATACGTCCCTTTTTCAATTCGCATGGTATGATTGCTTACATGCTGGTAGGATATCTGTGTCTTGCGTCAAGCGCCTCTTAGTGAATTCACGCATGTGATCAGCCAGCCCTCGCAGTTGTGCTCTAACGTTGATCTCATTAACCACTGGAAACCCATAGTCAAGCCGATATGCCTCGTCGTTGGAGATAACAGCATCATCTTGGTGCGCATTGCTACCTCCACTGAAAGCACCTCCTTTGAATATGCCAGTAAGCAGGAAGTCGACCAGAAGATAATTAGAATCATCTTTGAGGCTTGCAGGTGTATGGAACAGCGTTATGTCTGCGCTCTCGTGAGACGCCATACTGCGACATTCCCAGTAGGTCTGGTGTTCAGTGAAAACAATGCGGCGATTGGAAAGCACACCTTCTTGGTAAGTCCAGCCACGAGTCCAATACTGCGACTGCATTACTTCTCGCCGCGGATCAGGAAGTATTGATAAAAGTAAGCTTCCGCTATCGACATAGTACTTTGGTTGCGGTCTGCGGGGTGTCGATCGTACCCCAGGGAGACCATGGCTAGCACCGCTTCCTGCCGCTGCTACGATCGTGAAATCCGCTGCTTCGTATATCGTCGTCATCCTCGAGATCAGGTAGCCTTTCTCATCCAAATCCGATTGGTTTATACAACTCCGATCCACCCATAGATAGGTGAAGTTGAGTTTGCGTGTGACCTCGACTGCGTCCATAACCGTCGCTGGCCAGGGGTCCAGATCAGCGGAGGTAGATCCCCAGACATAGCTTAGAGCTGCATATGGTGTCCCCCATGGCTGTTCCTCCACCTCTGGAGGATCTTTTGAACAATTGATGAGACGAAAGCCTCGGGTGATAGGCTCGTATGATGCGCGTTGCTTGCATGCGTCACCATGCTCGCTCCGACATACATCGAGCCACATCCGTACCTGCCCAAGATCAAATGTGGACGGAATTTCCCTAGCACCCAGTAGATCCTGGTCGCTACTGTTGCCAGCCAGCTGGCGGAAGACGGCTCCTACGGCGGGGATCTCGTAATCAAGCCAGGTGATATCGTGTGCAGTTGGCGGAATAGACTCAAGATCGGGTACGACGGCCATGAAAGCTCTATCATGACGAGTTCGAAGGTCTTGCCAATTCACATCTCTCTGTGCTTCTTTCAATCGCGCTCCATGGAAAATCCATGCATCGCTACTGGGAAACGCTAATAACTTGTAGCGCTCATGTGCATCTGGCTGAGCCCTGATGGATCGGAAAAAGTTGCACAATGGACACTCTGATGGGCTGGATAGCCGAGTACCAAATTGATGCACCAGGAAAGCATCATTATAGAAGTTTCGTCGATCATAGGCTTCGTGAATCTGGGCGGGGTTTGATGTGTTAAGGTTTCTCCCTCTGTAATGCCGGTAGGCTTCATCAAAATTCCAATCGATATCGATCGTTTGGCAAGCCACACATAGAGGTGACGTTGGGTCGTTGACTGTTCGACAGCGTTTGCTTCCATGGAACTCCACGTCATCCTCCGAATTGGACTTTCGTTTTCGTTTCCCGATCTGGTTCGATGATATTTCGGTCATTGCGTGGTAGAAGAATCACGACTTTCCTATGAGATGGGCGATAGTAATTTTGTTCCTATGGCTGACGGTGCAGTCGAATTTCGTACGAAAAGTTGTAAAATAGTGGTGTTGACTCATATCTATCGTTGTGGAATCTATCCTCGTATTGGCACACAGCTGAATGCAGGTCGCTCGGGCAGTGTCTAGCACAGCCTCGTTGCCTGAAACCGGCATTAGCGCCGCCACGGGCGCATCTACCTATCTTGAGCGAATCAGGAACGATCCTTGTTCTCTTCCCCAATTCATCGTTTTGCACACTAATGCCTGACGGGGAGGTTCTGCGAGCCTTCATCTGATTCAGATACTACATAGCGAGCAGCTCGTATGTCAGCGCGGACGCAAAAGGGGTTATCGAACAGCATATTCTTAGCTCGTTTCTGATCATAAGGGCGGCAACATATTTCTTTTTATTCGGCCGGTCGTTATTCGGTTCTCACCCTGACTACAATCTTGCCCTTCGCCCTGCCGGTCCTGAGCTTCTCGTATGCTCTATGTACATTGTTGAATGCAAAAAGTTCGTCCACGACAGGCTTCACTTTGCCGTCCGCGACAAGTTTGCCTAACTTGATGAAGTCATCGTAATTTGTAGAAGCAAGACCGAATGAGAACGGCCGTTGCCCGCCTCCAAGCCACATGGGTACCAAGAAGCGGAAAGCGAGGTCATACATGAAGGGCAAGCTGACCTGGGACCCGATCTGTACGTACTTCGCTCCAGGCTTCGTGAAGGAGGGGGATTTCCAGTAGAGCTCGAACTGGTGGCCAACGTTATCGAGAACCATATCATAGTGCTTCGAGCTGCTTGCGAGAAGAGTAGAAACATCGTTTTCACGATAGTCAATCAACTCGTCGGCTCCAAGATCCTTGCACAGTTGGGTGTTTGCACCTGTGACAGAATCAGCAGATGCGCTATCGTTCCAAACTTGGTATATCTACCTGAGCAAGTTGTAGTAACATGGCATCCCAAAGCTTTGGCGATCTGTATGGCAAATGTTCCCGTACCTCCCGAACCACCATTAATAAACACTCGGTCACCAGCTCTCACATTTGGAGCAAGACACTGATACGTCACAAGTCCACAAACCCCTAGCGTTGCTGCTTGCTCTACAGACACGCCACTAGGTATCGGCACCGTCCCAGCTTTTGAACCGATAACGTATTCCCCAAGTGTGCCAAACTGTTGCTTTGGCTCGAGTTTGCCAAATACCATTTGCCCAACCTTGACATTGCAGTCGGGTCCTTCTTGAACAACCCTTCCAGCAAAATCAAGCCCGGGTGTTGCTGGTTTCGGGATGGCCATTCGTCCAACCACTGGCAGTTCTGCTAGCTTGTAGTCGACAGGGTTTAGAGCAGCAGCGTGAACTTGAATAAGAGATTCTCCAGCTGCGAGGGGCCGCTTCGATGTCGGCAGTGGGACTGAGTCTTTGAGCTCTATCGCCTCCTCAAGCGTGGTACCACATGTCGACCATTGCCATGCTCTCATTGTTGTCGGTAGGCTCATCTCTTCCGTTCCGGTGGTGGTGGTTTGCGACATGGTTTAAGTAAAGGTCGATAACACTGTTAAGAGGAGAATATTCGAAAGAGTCGGAATACACATTGATTCTGATGCGACATCATATACTATTCTGCGGTGGCTGGTCGTCAACCAAAACCATGGGCACCATTCGGATCCCCACACGGGGAAGCTGCAAAGCGACCGTGGTCTACGGTATGCATCAGGAAAACTATCATCATCCGCACAACAAGAGCACCAGAGGTTAAACTAGGACAAGTTTGATCATCTATGTCGCGCAGCGAAACTGTCTGTAATGGGAGAGAGGGTAAAGATATGAGCGCCACGTTAGAGGCTCGACGTCGCTAGCGCCGGACCTCGTGCTTCCGCTAACGACTCCTCACAGCTACTAAACCTTGTACACCAACATAGGCCCTATGCGTTCTAGTTGTGCGTCTTACTTGTGATGATAAATATCGATCGATTGCGGCAGGATAGATCGCTTTTGACAATGATGCATTGTTCGTCGTCGGACGCATTCTCTTAAGCCGTGCTGTCCAGATGGGGCTTCGTTTGCGTGTCGATATCGGCAACATGATCCTTTACTTTCAACTCTTTAGCGCCCCAGCTGCATAGTTGGCAAACACAGCACTAGATGATGGTACAAGTTCTTCTTCTCTTACATCGGCATGTTCTCCTTCGACGTCGTGATGTATGACTTTCTCATATCCCTCGTCGCACTTAAGCAATTTTCCTTCTTCGATACTACTTTGAGTTTCCTCTTTTGTGTCACATTCGTCTTCCTTGGCTTTATTATCTATTCGCTCATTCTATTCTTACAATTTTCTCTTACAGATGTAGGCTTAGGTCAGGAATTTGAAGATTTCGTTTAAAAGAGAGATGAAGCCGATGCGATCAGGACTACATTGAGCGTTGCGATCAGATGCTCTACCAAGAAAGAAGTATTTGCTTTGACCAGACTGAATCCATTCTTTTGCTTTCACGAGGTCAAGAACCGATGGGCGGCATCACGAGTTAAGAAAAAGTTGCCATCCTGGGCTTCTAATTAGAATCTCCGCCGCAACTCCGAGTCTATCAATGAGACCATTGCGCACAGCTTCTCTCAACAACAATTACTTCATCATGAATAGAGGATCTGAGTCACGGTGATAGCCCCTACGTATATATGTCTCTCGCAATGCCTAAGTTCACGAGTAATAGTTTGCCATTTGTATGCCTCGTGCTCAGCAGTCGTTCCCGGATGATGGAATCAAGAGTGCTGGTTACCATCAATTATCTTTCCTTGTGGTCCACCTTTTCAGCATGCACCAGCTGAATGATTCTGCTTTACGATTCTCAGATCAGCATGTCATATCAGTAAAATGATCCGGCTGGCTTATTCCTGCCGTGGTCCAGATATCTGAGATTGCAATCGCGAAAACGAACACGTGAGGCATCGGAGAGGTTGTGTGCGTCTTGAATACAACCTGTCATGGTACATGCGAGGATGTTTGAATCAGAAGCAGACGCGCTGAATCATGAGCTTGAGCAGTAAAACACAATTGGATTAGTGTAAGTGCCACCTCGATGTTACGTGGCAATCTCTGAGGGTTTCCAAATATACCTTTGTACTAGACAATGTACCAGCACGATAGGCATGACGGCTGTGCTGTGATGTTAGTGTCATTCCGTATTGAGGTGTCGTAGGGGTACTTGGTGGATAGGCCGGTGAAAGAGAAGCGTCAGGTGGGCGCGTGGCTGGACCAGACCATGGGACGGGTGGCTAGCGTCGCGTCCGTGCCCAGGCTTGACATCAACCATCATCGATCTCTCTGGTAACGAAGCTGCACACATCCTCACCGTATCTGCGCTATACACGCAGCACACTGATCTTCCTACACCGCCAAGCCTCCCCAAACCTAGATACCGGTGTTGCCTACCTTCTACTACCTCGGTCGGTCACCCGCGCAATCTACTCCGCACCGCTTCGAAGCACCGAGCTTCGCGCCTCGAATCGCCCGCGCCGTACCTAGTCTTCCCGCTGTACACACACACACATACCCATTTACAAGATGGCGTCAAGGAAGAAGGTCCTCCTCAAGGTACTGCAGCTCTGGACTGGATATGCTTTTCATCGCTGATGCGCGCAGGTCATTATCCTCGGAGACAGCGGGGTCGGCAAGACGAGCTTGATGAACCAATATGTACGATGACTCCACTTTGAGCTATGCACGATGCGAACGGTAGCTTGAGAGTGTGGACTGGGCTTATACAGTGTCTACAGGTCAATAAGAAGTTTAGCGCCAGCTACAAAGCCACCATCGGTGCCGATTTCCTGACCAAGGAAGTACTGGTCGACGACAGGCTGGTAACCATGCAGGTGCGTGGAGACCATGTTGAGTAAATGGTTCAAGCTGACTTTGACAGCTCTGGGACACTGCCGGTCAGGAGCGTTTCCAATCGCTTGGTGTTGCCTTCTACCGCGGCGCCGACTGCTGCGTGCTCGTATACGATGTGAACAACTCAAAGAGTTTCGACACTCTAGACAGCTGGAGGGACGAATTCCTCGTTCAGGCTAGCCCAATGGATCCAGAGAGTTTTCCATTTGTAGGTATATGTGGATAGTTTAGGACGGCATCGATACTGACCGAAACAGGTCGTAATTGGCAACAAGATCGACGTGGAGGAAAGCAAAAGGATGGTGAGTGTCTCCAGCAGTCGTCAAAGGCTATAATCTAACACATGCAGATCTCATCTAAACGCGCCATGACGTTCTGCCAATCGAAAGGCGGTATCCCCTACTTCGAGACCAGTGCTAAAGAGGCCATCAACGTTGAGCAAGCTTTCGAAGGTAAGCTGTTTTCGTTACCACTCCGAGACTCGGAGTTCGGAAGCTGACATGCGTAGTTATCGCACGACAAGCCCTAGCACAGGAGGACGTAGGTGACTTCAGCAACGACTTCCCCGAGACAATTCCGATCGACCTCAAGGGCAACGAAGGCGGCTGCGCATGCTAGTGTATGCCATTACGAAATAAGCGTTGTTCATGAGAGCCGACAGTGGACCCCCATCTGCCGCAATGCCGTCTTGCATCTGGAGTTCGCATGGAGTTTGGTGTTGGACATGCTTTCTGTGCAGGAGCATCTCGTTTTCCTGTAAATCATCATCAAATATGGGTTTATCGTTGCCTGTTCATATAGCAGCCTACCAATATACAATGTATTCATGCACCATATACTTGCACCTGGACGTGTGATGACGTGGGGCTGTGGCTAAGGCGGCACCGCCACGCTTCCCGCGGCCTCTTGAAACACATGAAACCCCCGAACCCCCCGGGACTTAGGCACATCGTTATCAAGTGTCCGCGTGTCACGCCGAACCACCCCGTGCAACTCCATTCTCCCTCTTCACATTCAGCTTTCTTCCGCGAAGGATTAATTTCATGGGCGCTCGCATCCACTTCCATGCCTCAACACGTACCCCGACCGTGAGCCCGCTTATTGCCGAAGACCCTCCTTGACCGACCTGCTCTACGTAACCTACGATAATTTCTACTACTTCCTCTCGATATGATACCCAGAAGAGAAGAGGATGTCGAGACGACGCCACTCAGCCCACGCGTTAGCGACGTCTCCGACGAAAGCGCGTACTTGCGCGGGGAAGACTACCTTGAGAGCCCGGCAAGTGAGGCCAGTCAGTGGGCTGAGGGCGAGAAGAGGGGAGCTTGGACAAGCAAAGTGAGACATGCAGTGGGAATAGCCCTCCTACTTGCTACCGTGTTCCTATGGACAGCTAGTAATTTCCTCGCGAGTGTACGTATCTCAGTCCCCCTCGGATGACATGGAGGCAATCGTGGTAGTAAGCGCGTAGCTGATCAATACGCAGACAATATTCGCAGACAACTCATACTCGAAACCTTACTTTGTCACCTATATAAATACCACCTTCTTCATTATACCGCTTTTCCCCATGTTCGTCCACCACCTATGGGTCGATCGTCACCGTCCAAACAGCGCGTCACAACACCGTCAACCCATCCTCGCACATATTCGCGATCTTCTACAACGGCGAGCAGGCAAGTGGAAATTGCTTCGCGACCACGAATCTGCGTCTTCACTCTCGTCTTCGAACAAGTCGCGAAACGACGAGGCAGCCGAAGTTCTCTTATCGTCCTCTCTCCACGGCTCTCAGAGCTTTGGTAACGGGAAGAATGGGGAGCAGGACGTGGATGAAGGCATGACCTTGAAAGACACAGCGAAGCTGGCATTGGAATTCTGTCTCCTCTGGTTCTTGGCAAATTACTTTGCGGCCGCGTGTTTGGAATACACAACCGTTGCCAGCTCAACTATCCTCTCTTCCACATCATCAATCTGGACGTTGCTCCTCGGATCCATAATGCGCGTCGAGCGCTTCACGCTACTCAAACTCATTGGTGTACTCGCTTCTCTGGGCGGGGTAGCCCTCATTTCCATGGTCGATGTGTCCGGCGAGACAGACGAGAATCGAGGCTCTTTCCCACACAAAACACCAAAAGAGCTAGCCATCGGCGACGTTATGGCATTCGTATCTGCCGTACTGTACGGTTTCTATACCGTCTTCATGAAAGCCCGGATTGGCGATGAAACAAGGGTCAACATGCCCCTTTTCTTCGGTCTCGTCGGTTTGGCTAATGTCCTGCTGCTGTGGCCCGGCTTTATCATTCTGCATTTGACTGGTATCGAACCCTTTGAACTACCACCGACATCCCGCATCCTCAACATCGTACTTATCAATAGTGCGTCATCTCTCGTATCGGATTTTTGCTGGGCATACGCCATGCTGCTTACTTCTCCGCTGATTGTTACTGTTGGTCTTAGTCTGACGATCCCGTGCAGTCTTGTGGGACAGATGGTATTGGATGCACAGTATGCGTCAGCGTTATATTGGGTCGGTGCAGCGATCATGGTGCTTTCATTCTTGTTCATCAACCACGAGGACCGGAAAGATGAGGTAGATGGGTTACAAGGCGCGGATGACGCTGTGACAGAGGTGCAGAGGAGTTTTCAAAGTCTGAGACAGAGTCTGAGTCGAAGAAACTCGACAACTGGGGTTTGATGCTGAAGCGTCTGATATTGATGCCCTGGTTGCATGTTCGACCCATCCATACGCACCGAGATTTTTTCCAGTTTTGTAGCAAAATACCATAGTCATTGTTATTGGTTTCATGGGGTATCATAATGCAAGTCATAGTACTACCACTTACTCATTTTCGTCCACCGTCCATGTTCTTCGAGTACCCGTTCCGCCCATACTTCCCCTTACCCTTTGAGTTCCACTTTCTTCCACCACCCCTGTAGCTCTTCTCCCGATCACCATCCTTCCTATTCTCCATCAACTCCTTCTTTCTCGCCTCCCAACTCTCATCGTCATCTAGTTCCTCGACTTCCCAGTTCTCTTTCTCCATGAACTTTTCAAGTTGCTCCTGGAGCTGAGGCTCCCACTTCGATGGGTCTTCCAGGTCACTGTATTCCAGGACGTTCTGGCCGAGCGTGTAGTCACCCTGACGAGAGCGGATAAGAGAGGACATCAGGCCGAGAGAGTTACAGGCTAGACCAAGATCGTGGCAAAGAGAGCGCACGTAGAAACCTGACGTCACTGTCATACGGAGCCGGGCTGCTGGGGGTTGCGCGGTTGAAGTGGATATGGCTGCTGATGTGGTAGTTTTGGTAGCTTCGATGTCGGGTTTCTGGGTTGTTGATGGGTCTTCTGCTGCTTCTGCTTGCTCTACAGACGCCGTGGCCTTCTCTTTTATTGATACTGGTGCTTCAGCACTGACTTCCATAGCGTTGTTCTCAGCAGAAGCTGCATCAGGAGACGCCTCTTCTGTTGGTAGAGCGCCAGACATGGCATGCTCAGAGTCCTTCTTAAGTATCTTCGGCTGCTGCCCTGCGCCCTCGACATGGTCGTTCTCTGGTGACCGTGATCGCTTTCGCCCTCGTCTTGTTGCTGTGTCGGAGTAGACTTTTGCATCTTCTTTCCGAATGCCCATCAGCTTCTTTGCTCCTTCCATTTCAGCGCCATCCACCTCCTCCTTTGGCCAGGCAAAGTCATGACTTCCTGGCTCCAACCATTCGACCAGCTCAAGCTCTTCAACTTCCACCGGCCTTGCAGCCACCTCTGGTATGTCCTTGCCCTCTCTCGCGTACTCGTACATCTTTTTGCCATCGACCTTTAGCGCAGAGAAAACACTCGGTTTTTGCATGATCTTGCCGCGGAACTGCGCCAGCTTCTCTTCGACCAATTCCTTGGTAACATGCTCGTAGTCTGCCTTGCTCACAACCTTGCCCACAGCATCGTAGCTGTCTGTTGCTGCACCAAACAGTACCACACACTCGTACGTCTTTGTGCACTCAAGGAAGCGTTGCAGGCATTTCGTGCCCTTGCCCGTGCCGACAATCAGCACACCAGTGGCCATTGGATCGAGTGTGCCGCCATGGCCGAGTTTAGCCTTGATATTCTTGAGGTGCTTCGGCTTAGCGTCCGCGATGATGAGGGAGCGTTTCTGAGCTTCGAGCCAGGGTGCGAAGATAGGCGAACGGGAGAAATGGTCTTGGAGGTCGCGCAAGACGCCGGCAGAGGAGGCCCATTGCGGTTTGTTGATGGCGAAGATGCCTTCGAGCACCTTGCGGCTCTCTTTCGGGGGAGTAGTCATGATCGTGCGCTTGATTGAAGACGCGACCAACATTAGCGAGGTGAAAGAAGGGACGCTCGAGCTCTAGCTCTAGCTCTAGCTGGGTGGGTGAAATCTTTGGAACGGCCCCGGAAGATACGAAGTAGCTCGTATTTTCCGAGTTATGCCTATCCCCGATAATGTATCCTAAATGTATACACTGCTACTTTCCTGCTCAAGTTACAACGTAAAAACCTATGAATACCTTTAAGGTCAGCTTTACCAAGATGTCTTCTGGGTAGCTCGTCGGCACACGCTAATCTAAAATCGGTTTAGTGGACGATCATCTCACATGTTTCTGCAGCCTGCAGCCGTTCGCGCTTGTGCCACTCACTTTCCGCTCGCGACTTTCACTCTCTCACACACTTTTTTACGCGACAACCTACCCCAACCAGTTCCCAAATCCCCACGCGTCTTCACTAGCATCTCAAGAATGGGCGACAACAACAAGGATCTGGAAGATCTTGCAAAGTCCACCACTGAGGACTTCTACGAGTTGCTTGGTGTGGCCTTCGATGCGCCGGAAGCTACGATCAAGAAGGCTTACCGTAAGGCCTCAATACGATACCATCCCGACAAGAACCCCGACAATAAAGATGCCGCCGACCGCTTCATTTACCTCGGATGGGCACGCGATATCCTCATTGATGAGAAACTCAAGGGCGAATATGACCGTGCGCGTACTAGGCGACGGGAGAAGGCGCTGCAGGATGAGCTATTGGATGGCCGGCGGCGCAAGATGAAGGATGACTTGGAGAGAAGAGAACGAGAGGTGCCCAACCTGAAGAGGAAGAGGGCAGAACAGATGAACGAGGCAGAGAGGAGGGAGCAAGAGATACAAAGACTAGCCGAAGATGGTAAGAGGCGGAGAAAGGAACTCCAAGAACGTAGGGAAAGGGAACGCAAAGAAGAGGCTGAGGCGAGCTTCATGGATGTCGAAAAGAGCCCCGAGCCGCAAGCGCCCAAGCCCGGAGAGTCGGCCGAGATCGATCGCACAGTCAAGGTTCAGTTTCAGCGAGAAGGCGAGACTGCAGCTTGGGACAAGGACAAGATATCGAGTATGTTTGCGAAATACGGCAAGATTGACATTATAATCATGGGCAAAGACAAGAAGATTCGACCTTCAGGAGAAAAGCATCGCAAGACCATCGCTATTGTGTTCATCACGTACACGCGTCTTGACCATGCGCATGCCGCTGTCTTGGACGGGAAGTCCGACTACCCGTCATTGGAATCTATATCTTGGGTGAATGGCGAACCTGACCTCAAATCGCAAACCACCAATGATGCGCCACCAGCACCGTCAACGCCCCTATCCACGCCGAAGAGCAAGTCTTTCAGAACATCGTTTGGACCTGGTATAGGGAAGGGTGTAGGAGGCACGCCATCAGGAACACCAAAATTCTCTTTTAGTCCGAAGACGCCAAGCTTAGAAGAGATCACCATGATGAGATTGAGGCAAGCAGAGAAGAAACGATTGGAGGAGCAGATACGCAAGCAGGAGGCTGCTGAGGAAGCCGCACTATGACGAGACGATTAGATGAGTTGTTGTTTAGTTTTAAGATACCCATTGTTAGTGTAGTTTGCATATAGATAGAGAAGCAAGAAGTCTACAGTGCTAATAATCTTCGTAAGTTTTCTTGTCAGAAGCTAATGTAGGCTGTAAGGTAGGGCCTGTTGTGAATATTCCTTTAGAGCAAGATACACCTTCCTGCTACAACAAGCATGTTAAGACCTGTGTAGATATAGATAGAGAAGCTAGAAGCCTACAATGCTAATAATCTTTGCAAGATTTCTTGCTAGGGGCTAATGTAGGCTGTAAGATAGGGCCTGTTGTTTCAGTACCTGTCCAGTTTTTCCTTGTATGCGGTGCTACCTTTGTTGAGTGAAAGAAGTCACTGGTATCGCATGACGCAACTTACTCGGCTATCGATAACACACGTGCCATTGACCCTGGACGCGCTGGATCGCCGTCTCGCGCTTCGCGCCCGCAGCGCAGGATCCCCGCTGCTCCTTTCGCCTAGGCTTGCATCACGGAGCTCTGTTCACGCAGCATCACAACATGCAACATATCTCGCGCTGATACTCAAAATGCCTGACCCAGAATCTGAGATACTGCGGCCACTCGACGCCTCCAATACCAATTCCGACGACTGGGAGATATTTATCTTGAGCGATGCGCGAATCGTCTTCGAGAACAATGGCAAACCTGCGAGTCTTCTTGCTGCATATGCAGACACACCACTCAGGGTGGAAGGGCGATTAGAAAGCCCTGCGCGTAGCCAGCTGAAATACTGTATGCGAGGCTTCTTGGCCTATACACGCGACCATAAAGGAAGCGGCTCTGGCTGACGCAATCCCAGTCTTGAAGAAACCCTATAAGCCCACAGACATCGAACTGCGAAACGTAACACGCTTCTCCTACGGCGAAATGACTGACGGAGCATATGTAATCTGGGCGCAAGGCAACGCAGGCTGGTTCGAAATACGGCCGGCGGCGCAGTACAGTAAGATATACAACGAGATGGTCCAGGCTGTGGAACTTCTATACTTCGTCACCGACATATATAGCGAGTCGCGGAAGAAGAGTAGTGGGCCTAGTGCAGAATTGGTCTTTCAAGAGGTCTGTACAAGTCGGGAACATGTAAACTTCGAGCAAGGTGAACGCTGACATAGCATAGTACGCAGAGGACGAGCGCTTCCCTTGCAGCGATGTAGCTACAGCTGAGAGGATTTTCGACCATCATCACCTTTTTCTTATGATGTGCTTCTTGAATAAGGCCCAAGGACTAAGTTGGAGTAACACGCCTTTATATCAACGTTTTAGACGCAGATTTCCGGCAAGTGATACCCAAAAGAACCTATAGTTTTAATCTAATGTACGCACAGAAAGACTTCGACAATTGCAAAGCACGTATCGAGGGCCGCTATTCGCAAATCCAGCCTGAACGTTCAGCGCAACCTTCCAAATTCAGGTCGGCAACCACAACAGGCTCCAAGTCAACGCAAACAAATGCGAAAGCACAGACAGCCCACGGAAAGGTTACGATACCGAAGCCAGTAGAAGCGCCAAAGAAGGATGACAATTGGTGGGAGGCAGCCGCTCTCTTCGAATTCATGCAGAAAGCAGTGAATCAACGGGTTCTGCGGGCAGGCCGAAACCAAATCACGGTAGATCGGGTTGCAGAACTTGTTGTCAGGCGGTACGAGATTGAAGAGGTGGAAATTGCAAAAAACGTGCTTTTGGTACATGCACAAAATTTATGTTACATGATGGAACATCCCCGCCGGAAGGCCGTACAATTCTTTGCTTCCGAGCCGATCTACAAAGAACTAGCAGCTGGACACGACCTATCTGCAGCCGAACAAAGACGAGCTGAAGGTGTCGAATTGAAACCACGGAGAGATCACGGAACTCTCAGAGATGGAGAGAATGAATCTTCAGACACATCTGACGAAGAAGACGCGATAACAACACCTGTACGCAGGCCACCAGGTAGGCGGAAGCAAGGTCGGCTATCTGTGCTACGACCTAGGAGTGGAAAGTTTTCTGGCAAGAGTAAAGGGATTAGCATCAAGCCAGGCAGACAGAAGGGGGGGAAGGGGAAGGCGCCTGTACCAGCAAGTGACGATTCGGAAGCCGAGCAAAGCGACGAGACGACCAGTAGCGAGGAAGACGAGGGAATTGACACACCGACGCAAGCCTTATCGCCAAGTCGTGAGAAGAGAAAACTAGATGACATGGATGCGGACCAAGAAGAAAGAGGCCGGTGGAAACGTACAGCCAGTGCATCTGCGGCTCCCGACTCTCCTCCTACAACCGGCGACTCGGATTTGGAAGAAGCCACCGCTGTGCCACCTCTACCACTCCGTTACCGGCCATCCAACGTCCCCCCGCATGTTAGGCCAGCGTCATCGTCAGCGAATACCAGACTAATGGTATCACCACCGATAGTATCAACACCATTACCAACCTACGAACCGAACGGCCCGCGCGACTCGTGGATTTGTAGTTTCGACGGCTGCACTCAGAAAATTTATGGATGTAGTAAGGAATTGGGCAGGCAGTTGATCACAGAGCATCTAGAGGATCACAGTAGAGGGCGAGAGAAGGTTGTAGGTATCCTTTGGAGAGAACAGGATAGGTTGAACCTCCCTGTCAGGTAAGGTGAAGCCTTTAGTACAATGATGTGGAAACTAACAACACAACAGCAATCTGATCAAGAAGATTCGCGAAATGAACGAGGCGTCCACACCGCTGTTCCCGATGCCTGGTGCTTTGACGACGGCGGTGCGGCCCATACAGAGACCTTTATAGAGGCATTAATTGAACTACAAAAATTCATGTCGTTTGCGTTGGAACGTCCCAGCAGCGTGATATTAATTATGTGCTTTTCTCTATATCTCCTATGCATCCCTGAACCTCTTTCTCTTGATGTCGTCATCATCTGCGCCATCAATGCTATCCAGACTCCTCTTCGTCTTTCTCCAGCCGTCCTTCCGACTCTTTCCCTCGATACTTTCAACATCATTACAACCCTCTACACTCTCCTTGACCTCCTCCACACTGTTCACGTAACCCGCCTCAGCATCATGCTCCTCCCAAATTGGACTTGTAACCTCATAAAACTCTCTTGTATCAGTTTTGGCGTGCCATTTCGGATGTAGGAAGGGCAACGCATATATAGGAGTGCGGAGGTAAGACTCGGGATATGAAATATCTGTCATGCGCGCTGGTTGTGACGAGGGGTGGTTGTAGTTAAAAGATTTTCCAATGGTACTGGAGTGCAGGACATGTGAGGCTTCTGTCGGAAAGGGAAATTGACGACGTAGCATGGAGGATTTGTATGGGAGAGGAGATGGGTGTTGTATAGTGAGCTGATCATGAGGAGTCGAATTATGATGCAAGGTCGTGCTCTTACTGTTTTCAACTTGTGCCACTTCGTCCTGAGTATGAGACGCCTACATAGAAAAGTTGACAAAGGCAATAGAATATGTGACAGGGCGACGTGCTACCGAAGATGGTGATAGAGGTGAGTCTGAATGTGAACTTGAAGATACTTCTATGATTGGCTCGGTCGGCTCTAGCTCTTTGTCAACCGGATTGGGAGGAAGAGCAGGTATGATAGTGCGTAACAAAGGAGGAAACCACGCGCTGGAATGGAGAGAAACAAAGGCGAGAAATTTTGAATTGTTGGCAAGACATGAATCTGCCTCATACACTGATTGTTTTGAAGACGTTAAATCCAGATCCTCCTGTGGCCATAATGGCGCCCGGGATTTGCGGATGCCAATGCGCCTCCTTGATCTGCTCCATGTAGTGCACGAATAGTAGTTGCGGTGGTACATCCTGCACGCCAGCTGTGTACTTGCTCTCTTCGTCGTCGAGCTCGACAGCTAGATCCCACAGAGTAAGGGTGTTGTCACCAGCGCAAACAAGCACAATACTGTCGTCTGTAGGATGCCACTCGACCGAAGTGATTTGCTCCTTGTGGAAAGTGTACGATGCAACTGGCGAAGGCTTCTTGTCGTTTGACATGTCTGTAGAGGGCTTCCATTGCCGCAGGTCCCAAACTGCCCACTCGCCATCATCTGCGCCGGTAGCGAGAAGATGTGCGGTTTGATGCGACCAACTCAGTACGTTGACGTCTGTCTTTGAGGCTTGCACACTGAGTACAGGCTTCCGTGACTTTGACCGCGCGTCCCAGATCTTAACTGTGCCATCGCTTGACGCGGAGGAGAAGACATGTTTCTCAGTTGGTGACCACTGGAGCTCCTCTACCGAGCCACTATGGCCGGTATACGGTGTGGTGTCTGTGACGAAACCTCCACCCTGTGTCCGTGTCGTCGCAAAGATCTTTCCAGTACAGTCGCCCGTCAGGAGCTTGCCCTCTGGTATGATTGGCGACCAATCTAGCGCATAACCCTCGTTGGATCCATGGGCGCGAATCGTGCAGACAGGCTTGTTTTGTGTGGGCGAGATGGTAGTACCTGGGGTATCGAAGGCTGTGAGGTGGGGAGTAACGTCGTGGATCAGAACCTGTCCTGACTCGGTCATGGCAGCAGTCAGGGTTGTAGGAGGCTGTGCAGATGTTGCTTGTGGTGTTTGGTGGGCGCGTATGCGGTTGGTGCAGCTGGTCAAGGGTATCGACTTGGTCTCGAGGATGGGGTCTGAAGCCTCGTCGTCGGAATCCTCGTCGTCGTCCTCTTCGTCCTCCTTCTCCATGCGCGACAGGCTGCTCATCTTCATGACCATGATCTGGTTCTCTTTGTCCCTTCCTCGCGCTGCTTGTGTGCCAGCGACCGAGTAGACGGTTGCGGGGTATGTTTTGCGGTCTACGCCTAGGTTGTCGGGTACGATGTCGCATGATAGACAGGGCCATGGGGCTTCGAGCGCATGGAGCATCTCATATGTCGAAAGATCGGGGTTCAGTGTCTCGCCTGGGGAGAGTTTGTGTCGACCAGGAATGAAGGTATCTTGGTCAACATCCATACCACCTGGAGGCGTTAGTGGTGGGCTCCAGGCCTTTGATCGTGCGCAACATACTCTCGCGCTCTTCTGCTTCGCGCTCCTCGTCCGGCCGTCCGTCTACGCCGGCCTCTAGGATCTCGTCCTCGCTCTCGAACTCATCCTCGAATTCGTCCTCGAAGTCGCCCACGTCGTTGTGCTGGTCAATCTCCATGGGACGCTCTCCATTTTTGATTGCCTCCTGCTCTTGCTCCGAGTCTGCGGGTCGTTTCGCCATGGTGTGGAAAGCGCGTGGTGTGTGCTTTGGGTGTCTTGGACGATGTCGTTAAAAAAAAAGTTGTCAATGGAAATTGTCCCGCCGAATGTTTTTTGAGGCTTATCGATCGGCGTATCGGGCGGCGCTAAGTGACGGCATCCCCCCTCGCACCTAACAGTAGAGGGAAACACTGCGCCCAGTCCAATCGCATCGCGTACATGCTAGGTCAACAAGACCGAGACGGCACCCATAATACACAGACGCCCCCTGAAGTTGGCATACAATTGTACGAGCAGGAGAGTCGCCAAGAAAGAAGAAAATACACGCTCCGCTTGCGTTCACCGTCTCGACGCGTGCCAGGGCGCTTTCAGCTCAAGTCACGGACCGCGGGGCCACGGAGACATAGTAGTCATGGAGCCAGAGTACCCGAGTCAGGAACCCGCGCAGCAGGCCTCCTTCGCACCTGCCGTGCAAGTCGCGCCTGAGCAGCTGCAGCCCGAGCCAGTACTGCCCGAGCAAGTGCCCGTCCAAGGCGACCAGGAAGCGCAGAAGCACATGGACCAGACCATGGACGGCGCCGACGACAGCATGAGCTCCACCATCACCGCCTCGACTGTCACGCCCCTCCCAGACCTCAGCCAGAACACCAGCCTGAACAACAGCCCCAACCCCTACGAGCAGCCTCACCGGCCCTCAACCTCGTACTCAGACACCGCGTACCAGTACACCACACACAACGGCTCGCGTTTCAACACCTCCTCAGACGCCGACACGCCTCCGCGACATGGCTACTACGACGCCAACAAAGAGACACATATGGGCCAGTCGCATTCGCGGCCGAGCTCGCAGATGGGACGGTACCCAACCTCCGAGGGCAACACGCGCTCCAACTCGTACCAAGAGCAATCACGGAGCGCACAACAACAACAGCAGCAGCAGCAGCAAGAGGCTGCCAAGAACGCCAGCGTTGTCATCAAAGTTGGCATGGTTGGAGACGCGCAGATTGGAAAGACCAGCTTGATGGTCAAGTACGTCGAGGGCAGTTGGGACGAAGACTACATCCAAACACTCGGTGAGCTACACAAGCATGTTCCACAGAATGCAACTTCTAACAACCCCAGGTGTGAACTTCATGGAAAAGACCATCTCGATTCGAAACACCGAGATCACCTTCTCCATCTGGGATCTAGGCGGTCAACGCGAATTCGTCAACATGTTGCCGCTGGTCTGCAACGACGCCGTTGCGATACTCTTCATGTTCGACTTGACACGGAAGAGCACGTTAAACTCCATCAAGGAGTGGTACCGACAGGGACGCGGCTTCAACAAGACTGCCATCCCGTTTCTGGTCGGCACAAAGTACGACCACTTTGTCAACTTCCCACGAGAAGAACAGGAGGAGATTTCCAACCAGGTACACCTCACCTGCTAGGGCTAAGGACAGTACCAGACTAACATTGCCTAGGCTAAACGATTTGCGCGAGCAATGAAGGCCAGTCTGATCTTCAGCTCGACTAGTCATAGTATCAACGTGCAGAAGGTGAGAGGCTACTGTTTCAATCGCCGGCCCTGTGCTAACATTAGCTCAGATCTTCAAGATCGTGCTATCAAAGGCCTTTGACCTCAAGTGCACTATTCCCGAGATAGAAAACATCGGCGAACCCTTACTCCTCTACCAAGCCGTCTAGTCGCCGGACCGTAGAGACCGTAGAGTCAGACCCAGAACAGAGGGAACACGTATGAACCTATCTGAGGGCCAGATCGGGCACGTCTTCTATCGGAATGTTACCATGAGCGAATGATTTTCATGACTGTTTTGCGTGGGATTGCATGGCTCGGCGATTGGAGCAAGGTGCTAAGATACATGGTTGGTACAAAACCGGCGTTCTTCTGCTTTGTGTATGCGGAAGTGATTGTATGATTCGAACATCAAGGCCTCGGCCGGGGCGCAGGTCTAGCGCCAGGAGCGCGCAAGATACGCAGCCTCACAGCAAACATCGTAGTGTAATAACTAGTAGTTGGAATCGAGCATGTCTTGCTGGCATTTACGTGATTTCAAGCAACATACATGGCTAGTTGGCGGTAAGTTTAGGCGAATGACGTAAGCTTCCGCAGCTAAAAAGTGTATAATCCCAGCATGCGACACCAATCATCAGAGCTTCAATACCACGCCCACGAAATCTCGCCCAGACTCAGACACAAAAACAAGACAACGCAGCCGATGTACCACATCGCGAACCGATTCACATACTAAAGATAGAAAGCAACGTACCGCCACCTTGCGACTAGAACCGTCAGTCAAATCGAACTGCATAGACTTTTCTGAGCACAGGCTCAACGAGACACACCTACCATCCACCACCATAATGGCGCTCCCTCCAGTAGCGCTACCAGGACAACTGCTTGGCAGTGTCGACAAATACAGTCCCGGTCCAGGAACGCACATTCACGACTCACAGATCTATGCCTCAATAGCTGGACCCGTCTTCTCTTCACCGTCACACCCTACCACGAACACGTCCTCCAAATCCACCAAACTCGCACCACTACTCTCTATAACGCGCCCGCCCACCTCCACTGATCCTGGAATTCTCGGTCCCAATTCTGGCGGCGGCGTACCACTCCTCCCAACGGTCAACAGCACAGTCCTAGTCCGCATAACGCGTCTCGGCCCACGCTTCGCCAGCGCAGAGATCCTTGTCATTGACGATGCAGTTTGCCGCGAAGCGTTTTTAGCACAGATTCGGCGCGAAGATATCCGGGCTACAGAGAAGGACAAGATAAAGATTGAAGAGAGCTTCCGGGTCGGTGACTTGGTGAGGGGCACGGTGATTAGTTTGGGCGACAGCGGCAATTACTACGTTGCTACCGATCGAAATGAATTCGGTGTTGTCTTGGCAAGAAGTGAAGAAGGTAGGGTCATGCATCCGGTTAGTTGGAAGGAATTTAGGGACCCAGTGAGTGGGAAAGCAGAGGCGAGAAAGGCAGCCAAGCCGTTTTGATGGAGGATAGAGAAGACTAAGAAGAGAGAGAAGCTTCAGCCTGTTAGAACGACGACGGCAATCGTCATTAAGATACCCATGAGGTGGATTTCAGAGCAAGACTAAGCGTGCTTGGCATGGAAGAGAGGATCCTGAGTAGAGGTACAATGTTTATTCATCTTGGAGGAAAAGAACGAAGAGATATTCCTCCAGGGATCCACAAGGATTTTCGATGCAAGTCAACGGAAGAAACGGTTGTTCATATCAAAACCTCCCTGTCTTGTTACTGCCAGCCGCATACATGCTCACGAGCGAAATCTACCATTGAGGACGACATCACAACGCCGCTATGTTCACCTACATAGAGCCCCACCACAATCTAGATGCAGCGGCAGTGGTCCGGCCGAAAAGAGCCAGTGTAGCTAAATATATCCTCTTCCCTTCCTCAGACGTGGCGAAAATAGTAGCGATCCAGAATAGCAGCAAGACAAAACCAAACCCACCCCGTAGCGATTGTTGTGACAAACTTTCGGTACCTGCATCATGACGTGTCACATATATGCAGGCACAATCACGCTTGACGCATGTTCCATGACTCGAGGCCAACACATCAACACGGATATGGCAGGACATGGCAAGACATTGAGAGATGTCGAAAACGGCGAGGTTACGATGGGGATTGAGTTACAATGCCCACACGGAGAGTGACTTTTCGTGGATCAAACGCAGAAATCAACACATTGTTGCATTTGGAAGGAAGAACGTAATACGACACGACAACGCTCGCTATACGCCTCGAACGTGTTTGGAATAATCGGCAGATGCTCACTGTAGGAGTTCTCCTTATATGGCCATCCACACAGAATAGTATCATCTAAAACTCTTCATCCTGATCCACCCACCACTTCTGAACCCACCCTTTTTCTTCAGCAAAGTCACCGTGAAACCGCAGCCTATTCTCCCAAGGCATGAATGTAAATAGTACAAGGGCCGTGATTGCGCCGAAACTCCGATCATGCTGTGGGTGCGCTAATTGCGCTGGATGAGCGAATGTCGTCATCCACGCCAGGCAAGATGTTGTAGATATGACATCTTGTATGATCCCTGATCGTAAGGCGATGTTCAGAGAACAGTTCCTCCTTCCATACATGCTGCGGTGACGTCGTCCACAACAGCGTCGCTCGATCGACCGCAGTATCGCATGATGCCGTTCTCAGTGACGCCCATAGTCTTACAGTGTCAAACTCTACCAGGCAGTAATCTTTTTCTATCCTGTAGCGTTATGCCTGTCTACAAGACACCTCCAGGAAGCGGTGTCCCTCTATTCTGGTTGCCCCATCCGAAGCTCTCTGTCTGCGGATTCACCGGCCGTACATCGTTTCCACCCACGGTGCTGACATGGCCTTCTTGTGGTGCTGCGTGCTTTCTAAGCATGAACATCGGTTTCCGACCTTCTTTGTCAAGTTGTTTGAACAATATCAGCGGCCTCTCGTTGAGCCCCAGGCATCGCTCTTGGTCACCATGTACAATGTACAAAGCATACTGCCGCCAGTCTGCCGTGATGTTGTATTTTTTGAGCGCAACTGGCAGCACCTTGTGACACGGATCGTCGATGGACACTCGGAACGACTTGAATATTTCGACTTGCGGATTCGTAGATGGGGTGGATGCGGGATTGGATGTGGAGGCGTTCATTGAGCTTGAGCCACCAGAGAGTGGTGGGTCACGATCGCGATCGTCAGGATTCGGCGTTGGTGCAGCGTTGTTTCGCATCGGTCGTGACGACAGTGGTGCGGGCGTAGCGCGGGGATCGCGATTACGGTCGGACACAGCAGTCGAGTCTGAGTTCCATGTGTTGTTTTGACTCCACCCTGAGCTGCTGTCGTGATCGTGCGCGCTTCGAGGTATTTCGCGGTTGTACTGGCGGCTTTGTCCTTGGTTGTATGCGGGGGATGTTGGGGAGGGTTGCGCAATGGAGTTGGGCGACAGTTGCGGGCCGCCACCGAGAGATGCTGTAAGGTGTGAGGAGGCTGCCACGGCTGCTGCGGAAGGATCCAAAGAAGAGTGATCGACAAGAGCGCGATGTTCTTGGATCGTTGGAGAGGGGTTCTTTGGCGCGGATCCAAGGAAAAGCTTCTTGGTGGAGAACTTACGCGACAGACTGCTTCCACCAGATCTCTCTTGAGTGGCAGGTGGCGATGTGACAGCGTGCTCGTGAGGAGTGGGTAGGGGTTGATTGTCCTTGAGCATGCGCACGAGTGGCAGAATCTCCTCTCGTAGCCGCTTGTTCTCGTCCATGACCCTGCTGAGGTCTTCTCTGAGATGTCGCAGCTCCGATTCAGCCGTATGTATGCGCTCGTCGCGCGCCTGGACTACGCGAATGACCTTGGCGAAGTCGTCTTGGGTTGGCGGCGCTTCCTGCGCTGATGTATCCGCGGCTGAGGCAGTGGTTAGAGGTGAAAAGGCATAGAACAGACAATGGACTCACACAGCGGGACGTAGTCGTCCGGGTCCATGGGCACATTCTGCCGTATCTTGATCTCGTAGACAGCTTTTAGTATGGTAAGGCGATGACCCACACTGCCGACACCCAGCTCCTTCAGCTCGGCATGCTGTAGCGCTGCCAGCACGTCGCCCGTGATGCCCTCATCTACAAACAAAGCATTAGCAAAGGATAGCTGGCGCGGGCGCGGAGCCACCTACTGGCAAAGGTATCCGAGTACTGCTCCAGGCCCAGGTCCGCGATGAAGTCAGCCGTCTGGTCTTCGTTCCACTCCATTATGTGCCCTGTCGGGCTGCTCTTGCTGTCGCGTGAGTGGGTGAAGGTGGTGGGCGTGTGTTCGGTGCTCAGCGGGCCTGAGCTCGTGGGGGAGCTCTCGTACTCGGCGGGTAGGGTCGGGCTAGATATGCCCTGGCGCTCGAACTCGTCATCGGCATCCGAGTCCTCGTGGTACTTGGTCGTGTAGGCCATGATGGGGGTGACGTCGACGGCCGGGCAGCGTCTCGGAGGGTTGGCAGAGGGTGGAGTGAGGTGATGCTGCCAAGCCCTCTCAGCAAGCTCGTCGAGGAGACGACGTCTGTGTTATCGATGGCGATATAGCCCGGGCCTGGCGTCGTCGATAGGGCACCCTGTCTGAGACGAAGCGAGATTGAGCCGGCGTGTTTCGTCTCCAGCGGGAGCAAGTGGGATATCCTGGGCGTGGTCTCAGATACACAGCTAGCCGGTGGCACTGCACTGCGCAAGGCGGGGAGGGTGAAGGTCTTCTCAGGCGGCCAGGCGTGGCGGTCGTTAAGCGCTTTGTCGTCGACGCCTGATGGGGGAGCGCGTATCCTCGGGGGCTGCGATGGTCCTTGCAGGCGTCGTATGCTCTTGCGTGAAGTAGACAGCAGTCGTATGATGCACCAGTCCAGAGTAGAGTGAGGAGACAGACTTCACAGCGCACGAGGAAGAACAATCAAGATTGCAACGTAAACTGGGTCGCCTGCTTCTGGATGCCAATACCAATACCGTCCGACAGGCGGCTAGCAGGGCCACCGAAGCCAAAGCGGGAAAGAGGTCCGTGCTTCTTATACTACGAGCTTGGAACCAATATTGCGATAAAGGATGCAGGTACCAAACTCCCAGCTTCGCTTTCACCACCTGACTGTGCGCGTCTTTGCCCTTGTTGCAGTATCCCTCGGAAGCACTGCACTACCTACAATCCGCTCCGTTGCCCTGTCTGTCACTTTCACTCCAACCACGCCAATCCAACACTCACATCCTACAATCCCCTACTTTCGGATCCGCCAAGTTGCAATCTTGCAAGTCATCGTTCGCACCACGAGCCCGCAACGGCACCCGGTAAACCACGCACATGCGTCGCAGCGATCTTCACCGCCAACGTTGAACTAGGGCAATCTGTGCCGGCATCTGCCCGAATACGGCTACCCCGACCAGTCGTTTAAGACGCTGCATCCCAAATTACGACATCCGGGTACCTCCAAGCTTCAAAGCACAATCCCACGTGCGCCCAGCTCCCCGTCGTCTACGCGAACAGGATCATCCACTACTTCAATATAAGGTAGCTCGCCCGGTATTGAAAACTTTAGACGAACATCCTCCTTTTCTGTTCTCCTGTCTTTTTGCAACCCATCGGCTCACCAACTCGGAACCATGTCTCAATCCATCAGTGTGTCAACGACTCAGGCCCAATCTGGTATATCCCAGGATCTCCGGAATAACATCTACTCGGCCCTACTCTCCGGCGATGGCATCCGCAATATCGAATCCACTCTTGATGAATCCTTGCGCGTCTCTGGCTTCAAAGATGCTCTGAGAGCCTACATCACCGATCTCTTCCGCTCAGGCCAAGCCACTACCTGCGAGGAAGCCCGGAACCTGGCCATGCAGAAAATCAGGGAGCAGACGCGTGGTCTGGGCGAGGATTCCAACGGAGTGAACGGAACCACAAATGCAAATGGCGAGAGTGGGGAGGAGGTCGACTTGAAGATTCCCAAGTCGGCAATCGACGCCGGTGCAAAGACGGTCATGAAGGAGTTGGAAAAGGTGTGCGACATTACATACGAAGACGACAAGTGATTGCTCTCGCTCGCATGAGTAACCCACATTTTAAAACGCAGCAATACCAGAAACCGGTTTGCCAGTCTATGCATCGGAGGAGAAAATGCAAGAACAAGAGCTCAACACATGGCCGTAGCGAACGGCAGTATCGACGGCACAGTCGGCGTCGCGTACGCGACATCCTCAAATAGTGCTGGTGCGTCCCGGATCTTGTTGTGAGAGATACTAACATCACCTTGCATCTCCGATAAGCACTCCAGCGCCACTCAGACACTTTGTATGTCAGCGATGTTTGGGCTTGGCGACTGGGTAGGACATGAATGTATGAGCAGGAAGAGTTTGTGACAGAATAGGGGTGTGAAATAGATGTCGGTGTAGAGTTGTACAGCACAGTAGCAGAACAGCCGTGGAGCACAAGTTCATTGATAACATGCATTCTCATTCAGGCCATTGGTTCGTCAAAGATACTACTGATATCTCGTCAAAGCGCCGGCAATTACGCGCGCCTCCATCTATGTATGGGGCATCAATAGCCCCTCATGCCATGTGATGAAAAAAGAAACCCATTCGTCATGATTTCGTACTCACTCGTTCCAGCTATTAGCTGCAACTCTCTAGTTGTACAAATCCTCGTCCTCGCCACCAGCACCAAAGGTGTTTTGCTCACCACCGCCCGCCGCATTCTCAGCGTCGGGGAAGCGGAAGAAGCTTGAACCTCCAGAGTTCTTCATTGACTGTGCAAAGGCCTCGTATCGGCGGATCTCAACGTCGGTAACGGAACGACGAGCAGAGCGCATAGCCTCCTCGAAGTGAGCCTTGGTCAGCACAGGTACTGGGTCCTCCTCATCAACTTCCATATCAACATCTTCACCAGCAGCCTCGCGAGCCTTGCGGCGCTCGATATCGATTGCAATAGACTGCTTGATGGCGAGCTTAACAGCACGCTGGGTGACGAAACCAAGATCGGCACCGGAGAATCCGTGGGTATTCTGGGCGATGAAGTCAATGTTGACATCCTCAGCAACAGGAGTCTTGCGCAGCTGAGCCTTGATGATGCTGGCACGCGAGGCCAGATCGGGTAGAGGAACGTAGACGAGCGTGTCCAGACGACCAGGACGGCACAGGGCGTTGTCGAGCTGCTCCGGTCGGTTGGTAGCGCCGATAACGAAAACATTCTTCTTTGATGTCATACCGTCCATCTCAGTCAGAAGCTGGTTGACGACACGGTCGGATGCACCACCAGCATCTCCTTGAGATCCACCACGCGACTTGGCAATAGAGTCCAACTCGTCAAGGAAGACAACGCAAGGTGCGGCGGCACGAGCCTTGTCAAAGATGTCTCGGATGTTGCTCTCTGACTCACCGAACCACATGGAAAGTAGCTCGGGACCCTTGATGGAGATGAAGTTGGCCGCGCACTCGTTGGCAACGGCCTTGGCAAGAAGCGTCTTACCAGTACCAGGAGGACCGTAGAACAGTACACCTCGCGAGGGAGACATACCGAACTTGAGGAACTTGTCGGGGTGGTCGACCGGGTACTGCACAGACTCAATGAGCTCGCGCTTGACCTCTTCCAGACCACCAATGTCCTCCCACCGAACGTTAGGAACCTCAACCACGGCCACTTCACGAAGAGCCGAAGGGTTAGAAACACCAAGAGCGAAACGGAAGTTCTCCATGGTCACACCAAGCGAGTCGAGAACCTCAGCATCGATGGTGTCCTCGTCCAGATCGATGAGATCCATCTTCTCACGAATCTGCTGCATAGCAGCCTCAGAGCAGAGTGATGCCAAATCCGAACCGACGTATCCGTGAGTCTCAGCAGCAATGGTTTGTAGATCGACATCGTCACCAAGCTTCATATTCTTGGTGTGAATCTGCATGATCTCGAGACGGCCGGTAGGGTCGGGAATACCGATGTCGACTTCACGATCGAAACGTCCGAAACGGCGGAGGGCGGGGTCGATCGAGTTGGGTCGGTTGGTGGCGGCCATGACAACGACGTTGGAGCGCGCCTTCATGCCATCCATGAGAGTGAGCAGTTGCGAGACGACACGGCGCTCGACTTCACCGTTGGTCTTTTCACGCTTAGGCGCGATTGAATCGATCTCATCAATGAAGATGATCGCTGGCGAGTTCTTCTCGGCCTCCTCAAAAGCCTTTCGCAGATTTGACTCTGATTCACCGGCCATCTTGGACATGATCTCAGGACCGTTGATCAGGAAGAAGAAAGCACCAGTCTCGTTGGCGACGGCACGAGCCATCAGCGTCTTACCGGTACCGGGGGGACCGTACATCAGGATACCACGCGGGGGCTTGATACCGATGGACTTGAACAGCTGAGGATGCCTCAGCGGCAGTTCAACCAACTCTCGGATCTGTGCCATCTGCTTCCTGCAACCACCAATATCGTCGTAACCGACCTCGTTGAGGTTGCCCTCCTCGTCCTCACGCTGAATAGGCTCGCCCTCGCAATGGATGACGGTATCTTGTGCGACAATACCGAACTCCGGTGGGTCGACCTCGACAACCTTGAACTCCACTTGTCGCATACCACCGCGGGCTGTGAAAGTGTCGCCTTGACGAACCGGTCGGTAGGCTTCGCGGAAGTATGGGGCAAGGAAAACGTCGAACAGCGATCCGGTGATGCCCTCGACTGTGTCGGCGATGGGGAGAACTGCGATGCGCTTGGCCTGCAAAGGTTGTCAGTCTCGATTTTACAATGACTGGGACTGAGAATACATACGTATTTGATATCCGGGCACGGGTGGATGGTGATAACATCACCGTGCTTGACACGCAGGTTGTGGCGAACGACACGGTTTATCCGCGCGGAGCCGTCATCAAGATCGTCGTCTGCAAGCACGATGAGGACGGTGTCCTTCCGCTTCTTGCCCTTGACGAGAACTGTGTCACCGCGGAAGAGCTGGAGAGTCTCCATGGTGTTGTTTGAGAGAGCGATAATCGAGTTGTCATCGTTGACGGCGTCGGTGACACTGAGAAAGTTAGGAGAGGCTTCTCAAATCGCTTCCTGGAGCACCTACATCAGGGAGTTTGGCTTCTTCTTCTTCTTGAGGATCGCAGTCGCGGTCTCATCGTTCTGTGGCGGGTCAGTAAGGGCAGGCGCAGAAAGGTGCTTCGCGGTGCCTACATCCTTGGGCTCAGCGCCGTCGGGGTTCCTGAGATGCTGTTAGTCGCTGTCGCAAGTGCGGAAGTGGTGGCAAGCGACGTACTTTGAAAGGTCCACCTTGGGCTTGGAGTGGTCTGGTTCAGCCGACATCTTGCTGATGTGTCTATATGTGGTTCTGCGAAATTACTTTTTCAGTGCAAAGAGGGATAGAAGTAATTGCAGCGCGGTTGAGAGGGTGGTGAGTGGTGTGGGGGGGTAAGATGGAGATGATGGATCTCCGGTGCTTGGGGCGTCGTGGTTTAAGTAAGTTGGAGCTTGAACAGTCGGTGATCTCACTGCTCGAGCTAGCTTGATGTTGCCTTAGGGTCCGTGCTCCTTCCGCCGCAACATTGGAAGTTGCTGGAAACGCTTAGACAAGCGGACCTACTAAGAAACACTGTGTCCCTTTCACCGCGGATTGCTTGCCGCCACCCTCGCAAAGTCCTACAAGGGCCAGCTCGTGCCACTACCCGCGACTCCAGAGTGAGACTGGCGTTGTTACGCGTCCGACTGGAGCCTGCTGCAGCCTCATATTACGCCACCAGAGGAAGCGCCAAGAGAGATGCTCCATATCGGCCCTTCGTCAGTGCGCGATAAGTAAACCTACATGTCCGCCACGTACGGTACAACACGACAATATCTACATGCATGTGTGCCTTCCACTGATACTCATGGATAGCACGCATTTCTAAGAGGGCAACTCTCACCAGGCAAAGAAGAAACATTTGCTGTTTCACGTCATGGTAGATCTGCGTCTAACGGTTTATCGATAAGATGCGGATCCGTCTTAGTTGGCTGCTTCGTGATTCCCGCTACGGTAGCCAGAGTGAAGCACCAGGTGGTACTGCGTTTCGCAACCTATCCCCACTACCAGTCAAGGAAGAAATACGAGCTTCGCTGGAAATGAAACGGGCGTCTCCAGGAGCTTGTAGGTTGACTTTGATCTCGTCAACTTGCATGTCTCCTTTACCTCACGAGCCTGACATTTCCTCGTCCTTTTCGGTCTAATCGCCCTTTTATTTACAGTCAGCTAGTGAGTGAAGCTCCCAGCTAAACATTACTCTCGCAACGACGAAGGCTCTCTATGCTGGATCTACCTACGCGTCCTGATGTTGCATCCCACGAGAAGCTGCACATGCTTTCTTCTCTATGTCGCGCAGGCAAGGCGCTTCGAACATGTTTGCGTATATAATGTTCTTCATAGTGCCAACAGCGACAAGCACCCAGAGCAGAACGACACTAATTCCAAGTATCGTTCCTAGAATCCTAAAGAAAGCGGAAGGAAGTTCTTGTCCTATGGTAATGGTAGACATTGTAAAGACGCCAATAGGAAAGGTGAAACCCCACCAACCCATGTTAAAAGGGAACTTGTTTCGACTGATCGACGCGACAGCGAAGAACAACCATACCAGACCGAAGCCCCAGAGTGTGATGGCGGTCATCCAGCCTAGTACGTAGAGGACCTCTCCAGCTACCGGGTGCAAGGCTTTTGTATCTGGGAAGGTCTTCGAAGCTTGAATGCCGAGTTTCAAAACTGCGTATCCGCCCTGGCCCATGGGGCCGAGAGGCAAGAAGACGCTGACGATAACCTCCTGAGATGGAAGGTTATGAATGGCAAGACGATGGAAGTATATAACCATTATCACGAGTGCCAGAGGTAGACCCATACCCCAAAGGACATAGCTGGTGACTATGGTGACAAGGGCGTGATTCGGGTCAGGCAAGACCGAGGCGACAACGCCGCCAGAAGCTGCTGCAACGATGCAGGCCACGATCGGCAGAAGCCAGGCTGCTGTCATCGTCTCATGGCGGTTATGATGTTTGGTCATCCTGCAGCTATATTAGCGGGTGGCGTTCTCATATTCCTCGCACTAACAGAAACACTTTGAGGCGAGATCTTGAGATTCAAGCGACAAACATGGTCAACTCACATCTGGAAAGGTAGCCAGAGGCAACAAGCAACGCTGAGTGCGACGTCGAGCCACCACATGCCCCACAAGACGTATGGTGTCAAGCCAGCCCATTTTGGTACGCAAACAACGGCGAACATGTTGACGATGGTAGCAAATCCCATGGGTATTGTGCCAAGAAACAGCGACTGTACCGGATGACGAAGCATCAGAATCCATATGGTGGGATACAGTGTGTATCTGAGGACTGATATCATGAGCATGGTGGAGAATATGATGATGTTGAGTATGAAAAAGGCGATGCTCAGCGCTCTCAACGAGCGATGGTAGCTAGGGTAGAGCTCCGAGAAGGTGTGAAACAGGACCGCGACGATGCCTGTACCCATGGTGACGGCGAACTGAGGCTCATTTAGTCTCTCGTTACTCATAAACTCCAGTATCTGACGATGCTACATACCCATGCAGGTGTAAAGTTTTGGACAATACGTCGCCAACCCCGACGGTCCGCTGGAATGAGCCATCTGGGCAGCGCTTGGCCATCTGAAAGCGCGGCTTGACCACTGCACAAATCAGTTGGTGTTATACGAGCTCCATGCTGTATCGCACATGGCGCCGACATTCTGATGCGAGAGTTGAGGATGACAGTGATGAACTTGAGGTGATCGAGGGTAAAAGATTAAGATCAAACGTAACGCGGAATCCGCTCCTCACTTATGCAAACCCTCATGGCTTAGAGTCATCGGAATCTCAGGCTAGGCTTTATTCTCTTCAGGATGGCCTGCATTTTCATATGGATCTGCTGATAGCTTTGCTTACACAGACCATGACGGCCGGATCCTCGGCGATGGCCCGAAATTCGATACGTCAAAGGTACATGACTCAAAGCATCTCAACAGCGCGCAAGGGAAGAAAAACAGTTTTTGAACAATGAAATTCGTTTGTATTCGAGGTCGTATGATGATTGTTTACCAAAGACTGACGCAGTAGCGCTTGGGCAACATTGAGAGCTTCAGAGTAACTGAGTCTAGCTGATTGGGGTCTAGATCGAGATGCGGCTTCCGGAAGCACTCCACGAACCTGTTCCTGATCTTCGCACACGACACCTGACAGACCTTATCGCTGGAATGTAGTGTTTTACTCTGCAATGCAGAGTTATGTTCATGCTCGAGCTGCACCTGCTACTACTACTACATACACTTCTGTTTGCCTCCTGAAGCAACATCAGGCACTTGGTTTGTCAAGGTACTTAGGTACTGTGGTCAAGGACTTATTGTTATCACTTTCTAAGGCCTATATAATGTAGCTGATACTTTTGGAACTGTTGTTTGATAATGATACTACAACACGTCTAACTTCTGCAGGTTCGAATTGGTAGCATTGATGTTTGCACTTGCCATCATGATCTTTTTTTGATCCAGATCAAAAACGATGTAAGCTCCTTGCATGAACGGAGCGCCTAGGCTTGCTGTATCATCCCCATCTGAAGAAAACATCGGTAGGAAACATTCAGTCGTGCCCGAAGACGAATCTCGAACAAGCATCGCAGCCAAAGGAGTGCTGATCTTCGCTTGGTTGTTGTTGAAGCCGAATGAGAGGCTCTCTCCGCGGGAGCCAAGATCACACGGCACACTGCCCAGCTGACCAGCTTGATCGTCAAAATTCGCACCTATAACCATGGCCATGGCGCGTAGAGAAGCTGATGGAATGTTCAGCGAGGGGTTTCCAGTGTCGATCAACGCCGGAGGGAGGCCGCCCCGTGGTGCCAAGTCGACGTTGGATCTCGAGGAGGATGAGTTGCCGCTGACCAACTGCATGGAGCTGAAATCGATTACAAATTGCGACGCAACGCCTCCATTGTTCAATAAAAGTGGTCCTGCATCTTGGAGCGGGCTTTGGAACTTCGCGGTGTCAACACCGCCAAACACAATAGAGCCCTCTGGACTGCCTGTCAAGAGGATACCGATATCAGCCTGGCATTCATTCGAACATTTACTATGCTCAACTTACGGAAATCGTTCATGAAGATACCATATACATTGGCATTGATAGCACCAGTATCCTTGAGATTGGCCAATGTATTCTGGTATGGTGGCTGGACAACTTCGTTCTCAATAGGACCGATACCGAATATGGGGAAAAGTGGATTCCCAGGAGGCAGCGAACCTTGCTCGATGACTCCAAGTTGTGAATCCGACACACTTTGGTTACCGAGCATCAGTGTTGTCTTGACGAATCCTCCTTGGAACACAGCACCGTTTGCAAAACTCGTGTTGAGCTCTGTATTGACATCTGTAATACTAGTGTCACGATCCGTATCGAACGAACCAGTGACGAAAGGTGTGCCAGAGCATTGCTGCTGTTTGTCTTGACAGATTCTACTGCCTGTCCTTGGGATGACGAGATCGCTACTTCCCGTGTCCAAGATCGCCGTTATCAGCTGTGGTGGAGTACCGACCCCCATCGAAACAAGAGGGATGAAAGGACCCGCGTCATCAATATTAGAGTGCTTTATCGGTATCGATATAAGCTTGGGAGTTTGCGCCTGCGCAATGTGCCCAATAGATAAAAGTGATATACATAAGATGACGGTATTTAATCGGGGAGACATGGTGAAATGACTAAACGAAGGCGCTGAAGAAAGAACTGACTGATGATTGTGGACGAGGATCTGAAGTGATGATTTGGTCGTGACTATCTTTGTGAACTATTCTTATAAGCACACGTTGTCGGGTACCGGATACTTCTTGAAGAATCCGTATCTCTAAACCTTTCTGCATGTACATAAAGGGCCGTCTTGACGACGTTTTGGTACGCTAGTTGTTCATAAACAGAGACTACCTGGGGAGTAAGGACACCGCCCATTGGCCAGCCCAGTACCAGTTGTATGCATGTTTCTAGGGTCGCTAGGAATGCTTCCATTGTGGCGTTGGGTCTGACGGCTGCTAGAGGCGTCAAAAAGATCATTATGCCGGAGTGGCTCTGGGCTTGGGCGTCTGCATTGAGCTTTTCGATAACCATACTATGATCTGCCCTGTCTGGAGCCGGTCCGATGTCACGGCTGGTAATGTCCCGGGTATAGCGCATAGATAGCTTGTTTGGAATGCTGTTTCGACTTTCCCCAAGCTAGCTCGAAACACCTCATGGCATATGATACTAGGTACAGACAAGAGCAAAAAAAGGCAAAAAGAGAATTATTCTCCCCACCATGAGTCGAACAAGGGACCTTCTGATAACAGCAGATATTACAGTCAGACGCTCTAAACCAACTGAGCTACGGGGAGTTTTTTCTTGATGAAAAATTTCCAATATTGTCAGATTATATTGTTTATTGCAGATATGGGATTCTGTCCCTTTTCACCATGACAAAGTCGGGGCACATGTGAATTTCGGCGTCAAACAGCCTAGTGCGCTGAGCATGCAACACAATCGAGTGCCTGTAGCGCATTCAGCTCTCTACATCTCGCGCTCTTTATTTGAGCAAAGCTTTTCTTAGCCTAGTGATTGTAGCAGCTTTCAGGTCCGAGCTGAGCCTCGTTATATCGATCTGTGTGGAACGAGGGACACAGGTACGAATGAAAAACAAGATAGATTGTTTGTCTGATTAGACGGCCAGTTTAGAAGCGAGTTCGCGGTGTGCCATATGTCATCTAGCCCCTCCACACAGCCTCAAGCACGCACATGAAGCTCAACGGATCAGCTTCAACTCTAACAACATCGTATCTCTCATCAGCCTGCTTGAAGATGTCCTTCCACGCCTCTACTGGCCTCTCCTTCGCGTTAAATAATGCCATCATCCTCAGATCAGTGGCTGTACCAAAGCCCTGTATACTCCTTGGCAGCTCCTCGTTGCTCGGCTCCTGCTTGCCCACATAATCGATGAAAAGAACGCGGGCACCGGGCCGGAGTGCGGGCCGGAGTGCTTGCAATATCTTCACTGACTCAACGTCCGGCCAGTCGTGTAAGATCCACTTGAGCATGTAAATATCCGCTTGTACAGGCTGTGGATGGAAGAGGTTGTGTGTGAGAAACGAGACACGCGATCTTAATTCGGATGGGAATTCTTTTTCAAAGACTGGGGCGACTTCGGGGAGGTCTTGGACTACGATCTTGAGGTTAGGGAACTTGGTTGCAAGAACAGCATCGTCGTGACCAGCTGAACCACCGAGCTGATGATTGTTAGTGTCAGGATGAGGATCAGGTCTAGGTATACTCACGTCAACGACCGTGACTTCGCCCTCTGCCTTCCAATCGATGGCTTCGAGTACCATGTTTTCGGTGTGGAACAGATCCTTGATATAGGCCATGAACTTGACGAAGTTCCTCTGTCGCCAGCCCTTCTTCTCACCCTCGCCATCGTTTTCGATAAACTCCCAACTGGTCTCATAGTCACCCCACGCTTCACCGCCAGAGTGACACAGCCTAAAAGCAGTCTCTTTTATGTCCTTGCTTATCTCAGGTTTTCCTTGCGAAAAGCGTCGCAAAGCTTCTGGAAGCAAGAACATTGGGGGACCCGTTTCATCCAACACCATCTGCACGAGTGCAGACAAGCCAGAGTCTTTGGCTAGTGCAGCAGATCGTGAGCTATGTTTGACTGAGGTCGATGTGGGCGAAGGTTTGTGGAAGAAGCGCATCGTGACAGCATGGTCGATGACACGACTCACCACCTCAAGAGGGAGCTTGGTATGCCTTGCTATATCCTCAAATGTCGCTTCGCCATCGACTGGCACCGCACCCCAAAAGTCAAACTGGTTGAGGACGTTCAAGCATGCCGTGTCTGGAATGGCCATGTGTACGTAGTTAAACACGCTCTCACTCGGCCCTTGGCTTAGAATCCACATGTCCTTCAACGCGTCCTCAAGCAGTTGTCGGGTCATGAAAACATCTCCCGGGAGTTTCTCGTACTTGATCGGACTGTCGGCCTCAAGAGTGACTGGTGTCACATTTTCAGCCTCCAGCTGCTTCGTCATCTTAGCAGCCAGCTCGCTGATTTGGGCCGCTAAGCTGTTGAGCGTTGCAATCTCATGTTGCTGAATGGAACCCATGTTGCCGTGCTTGGATGCCTAGAGTTAGTAGAGGGATACGTCAAAATTGGGAAGCAAATATGGCTGATATATATTATATCCCACCAGTACTCATGTAGGGGCGCTCTCCGTCATCGGAGTACAAGAAACCCGGAGCATCGTCCGTATCAAAGTCTTTTCTCGTCATGCTCTACATCTTTGGCTCAGGTATGTCGGCTAGCTGAGAATGATCGCGAGACTGCAGACGAGATAGCTTATGATTGGCGCGATCTGAGGACCGGTCGCTTGAACGGGTCTAAGGAGGGAGACTTAATCCGAGGTCGTGTCCGCAAGTATGCACACTTATGGCATGATGTTGTAGCCATAGCATCACCAGTGGAACGACGATGTTGCCCATCAGCGCTAATCTGATCATCTTATCAATCTGATAAGATTTTTCATCTCCGAGAGCCTGGGCGCCAAGGTGGTGTACTTTGCCAGCTGCCGCTTCGAGGCAATTTCCCATATGATGCTACGTCAGGGTGGGGTGCAATACGAGCGTCGCGGAGCACATCGCGATGTCTGCTGAATGTATAACCACTGATTACCGAGCTTCAGTAAAGTGCAGAAGATCGTGTGTAGCGTGGTGATAGTTGGACTTACCTAGGTAGCTAGGGAGCGAAGAACTGGCCGCTTAAGCACCGAGCGAGACCCGAGGCACCGAGGTTTTGGCCAACAGAACGTAGATTACAGAAATAAGAGCAATTTACATCGACAGCAACCAACTACCTGCCTATATGGAGTGAATCCTCCATTTCGTCGCTACGACATTGTAATACACTGTTTTTTTTTTTTGGATACCTCCAGCAATTGGGATTGGGACGAAAAGCGAGTGTGATTTGATGTAAGACATGTGTCGCATTCTTCATTCAATACGAACACCTAGCACCATGACTCAATGACTACATTGCGACTCATGCAAGTCTTCAAGAAACCGCTTCTAAACTCCACGACGCTATGCAAGCACAAATGCATCGACCTTCAATTAAACATTTGATCCCAAGAAATATAGTGAAATCAACAACCTACTTCCTTCCAATGAGCTTGCTGAGCCCACTCTTCTTCTTGCCATCCTTTTCCTTCTGACTCTCCTCCTTTTCTCGAGCATCCTCGGCGGCACGCTCATCCCTTGTTGGAACTCTAGGTTGATCTGCGAAACGGATACCAGGCGTGCGTGGCGTAGGTGAAAGCGTCTTTCGGCTTGGCTCAGCGGTGCGCGAGTGTGTACCACGACCAGTCTCAAGTGGGTCACCAGTCTCTTCATCTTCAGAATCAGATTCGGGAGAATTGTCTTTACCTACACCAAGGGCCCCCAGACGACGCCTGCGCTCTGCCGCTGTTTCGCCTTCAAACCCTTCTTCTGGTTGCTGCGATGGCGGCAGAATGGCGGAACCGCCTGAAGTTTCAGCTGGTATATTCTCCGCAGCTAAGCGACGTCGGCGCTGTGCAGCGGTTTCGCCACCCTGATCGCTGGGTCGGTTCTCGAGATCCTGGCGTACGGAGTGGAAGGGAACATGCTCATCGTTACTGTCCACTAATGTCAGACCTTCGGGGCCCCGACGGTGGCCTTCTTCCTTAGCCGCTGGCGATTCGATCTTATGAAGTTCGGCCTCGCCCTCTTCTCCAACAACCGGGGGCATATTTGCTTGTACCGAAGCTGCACGGCGGCGTTGTTCCGCAGTGTGGTCCTTAGCATCTTGGTGTGCGGCATCTTTGACGGCCTCAGGGGCATCACTAGCTTGTACAAACTTCGCCCTGTCTTTAGGGTTCATTTGCGACATTTGCTGGATGAACTCAAGCTTGCTCATCCGACGGCCACCAGCTGTTACGGTGAAGCGGAGTAGATCATCATCTTCTTGCTCTTTCGCTGCGGCTTCCGCTGCTTTCTGTTTCTTTTTGTTGTTATTCGCCGCTTGAGTGCCCGATGGTCCAGCCTGTTGTGCTGGTACACCCATGTGGGTTCCCATTCGCTTGAGACTCTGAACGGCACGACTAGACGTCTCTACCATAGATTGGCCGCGATGGTTGGCAGGTCGGCCATCCTTCCCCTTCTTTGGAGCGGCCGGTATGTCGTACTTCTTCAGGACCTCGCCATCCTCATCCTCAACAATAATGGTATTACCATATTGGTATGCGAGGGCGGGGCCGTTCTTGTGGCTTGATTTCTGGGCTGGCTTCTCTGCCTTTGGTGGTTCTGTGGCCTTTTCCTTTTGACTCTGACCCTTGTAACTTTGCATTCGGTTGCGCCAGGTTTTATGAGGGTGTTCAATCGCGTTTTCAATGCGACCGGGTGCTTCTTCGAGTGCGCCGCCATGCTCATCTTGCGACACGCCACCGTGGACATGCTTTGTACGCATGAGCTCCTGCGCCCTCTCACGGTCATGCCTTTGCCTCTCCGCACCGTGCTCACCATGACTGTCTCTTACACCGAGAACATTTCCTTCTTCATCCTCGATGACAGTCTCATGGCCCTCCTGATACATCTCTTCTTCTGGTACCTGGCCCTTCATCTTCTCTTTACCACTCGATGAACTGTCGCTAGAGATGGCCATCGTATCAGCAAAGGTACCAGTGTCTTCGAGTTCTGCTGGTAGCCCCTTCTCTTCATCACGCCTAGCAGGACCAATGGCGGACTGCGAGATTGGTCCACCTGGACCTCGACCAGCATCCCAGCGCCTGCCTCGGTTCGCAGGCTTTACAGAGTTACTGTCCTCTTCCTTCTGACGACGTAGGAAACTGCTGCCAAAACCTGCCGTCGCGAGCTCTGACTTTTCATCCATGGATGATTCAGAGGGACGTCGAGCCATAGAAGATCTGGAGCGTGATTGGATGCGGGGAAGACGATCCATCCAGCCGGGCCCGTTCTCGTTCGCTTGGGTGTAGGACATGGAAATTGTCAGGGTATTGATGCGTTTTCCAAGGGTAAAGACAGCGATTGAACTTCCATGAACAATGATACTAACGATGACCAAGAAACATGTAATGGGCCAGATCATCTCGATGATGTTCAAATGCTCGAAACCCTCCTCCGGTAGTACGGCTAGCGGGGTCGTCGTATCAGTCTCCAGCTCGGCTCTTGCAAGGATCGCTACAAACAGGCCACCGACGCCAATGGGTCCGAAATGTCCAGCGAAGGACGCCTCTCGCCAGGTCTTAAGGTCGGGAATGACAGGTTTGAGCGCCAACATAATCGGAATACGGCGGAAGAAAAGTACCAGAATGCCGAGCACAACGAGACGCCATGGTGTTATCCCGATGAGCGGTGCGTTGAACAATTCCCAGGGGATGATGGATCCAAAATAGACGAAGAATGCCAAATTGATCAGCAGGTCGATAACGTTGGATACGTGGGATTCCTCGGTTTTCTCCAGGAACCATCCGTCGTTGGAAAAGCCTACACCACAGGCGAAGCCCACCAACAAGTCATCCATGCCCAGCAGGGCACCGGAGCCAGCACAGAACAACGCCAGCACGAAGTAGAAGACGAGGAAACTCTCTCGATCAATGAGATCTTTCTCGTGCGCCCACCGAATAGCGCGACGCGCAATGTATCCAACGACAACTCCATAGAAGGCGCCGAAGATGCATTCATAAAGGATGGTGTAACAAAACCAGTGATAAGCGACCGCGTTGGCGTCTGGTCGGTAGTGAATCAAGTAGATGGCCAAGTAAACGAAGGGGAACGCCATGCCATCGTTGCAGCCAGATTCACAGGACAACAAGTCTCGAAGATGTTTGGGTACTCGCTTGGCGAACTTGCCTTTACCGACGACTGATGATGCTAAGACAGGGTCTGTGGCAGTCACACAAGCTGCAACGCAAAGACTGTCAAGCCAGTTGAGGTGAGAGTGGAACAGGCCCCAGATGAACAGGCTAGTTATTAGCCAGCCAAAAGTCATGACTGGAAGCAGTAGTGCCACGACTGACTTCCAGTGCTTCTCCATGTATGCGCGAGGCAACTCGACACCGACAGCGAAACATTGCACGACAAGGACAATGCGCGAAAACTCGAGGGTGATCAAGTCGACGTTGCCCCAGGTTGATGGATCTATGAGGTTTGCGGCATGTGGACCGAATATGATACCACAGATTGTCGCGACTGTGGCTTCACCAATGTACAGACGCTCCTTGATCACAGAGGAGCACAGCATGAACAGACTAGTGAAGCCTCCAAGGATCAGGTAGACCAGATGCGGCTTTGTGATGGAGAGGTGGTCCCACGCCATTGTGACGTTTTGATGGTCCTTGTCTCTATGTGTGTTTCTGTATCCGTCTAACTATTTCTCGCACGTATACGACGCCTGTATGCGGAGAAGCGAAAGGCAGTTCGGCGCGGTTGGTGGCCGAGGTGGGCGAAGAAGAGTCTCGCGGGCGAGCAATGGTTATGTAGGGAGGATTTTGGCACCGGGGCCGCGTTGTCGAGAGAAGCGGTCAAAGGAAGAGAAAGGTGGTAGCGAGACCGAATGCATGTATATGGGGATCCGCCCAGACGCCGGTCCAGCACAGCCCTATATGGCAATGACGGTGATGGTATGGTATGCCTGCGGGGCCGTGGAGAGTGCTCCGCCTTTGCTGTCGCACAACTTCTGGAGTGGCCAGTTAGTGAATGTTATGGGAGAAACAAGAAAACCCAAGCCGAATGCTTACGAGGTCTAGGTGCCGCTCGGCAGGCTCATCCGAAAGCTTGGATGGTGCGCGTGGTAGTCGGCTGTCAACCAGAGTCGAGCGCGATTGGGCGTGCGCAGATTGGGAAAACAAAGGCGCGTTTCTGATCAAGCCACTTCAATTGCCAGGGCGAATCGTCGTCGTCGTCGGGACTCTTCAGCTCGACTGGAAAACGAGCGAAAGAAACAGAGATTAGAATGCGATTATCTCTCTTCCATACTAAAGTGCTTGGTACTTGGCAATGACGTTGGTTGGCTCCGGGGGGGACTAGGAATGGCCTAATCGGACGCCACCGTTCAACAGCCACACTGTTCAACGCGATCTTGGGTGCCGAAACTTGGCCGGCAAAACTTCCGCTACATGAACGAGTCTGGCGGACGGCAACCCAGCAAAAACCGTTCAGAAACGGTCGAAATCGCAGCGTCTTCTATCAAAGCAACGGCTGGGGGCGGAGCTCAGTTCGCTCCGATAGGCCGCGCTACGAGCCGCCCCAGCCTTGGAACTGTTGTGCCCAAGCCTTGAACATGTTCGCTCTCGCTTTCCGTGGACAACCTCTTGACCTCATGCATCGTCGTTCTCGGAGGGATGCCACATGACAAAGCCTTCTGCACGCTGCTTATCACATGATGGTTTTGTATGCAGGGTGCTGCATCGTCTATGCAGGAAGGCCGATCAGCGGACTTCGGTCAACAAACCTCACGAACTGCAGGCGTGGTTGGCTCAATAGCACGACTCAGGGAGCTCTCAACGTTGCAAGGTCCCGAGGTCATTGACCATCGCTAAGTCGTTATCCGGTGAAGGCACATGGGCCCTCACAAATAGCCGCTATGCAGAGATTTTCCGACTGGAGCGTAAGCACTGCAGCCGCCAGAGGCGGTGTAATTCAATGTCAAGATAAGTTAAATGTTGGAAGCCCGGGCGGATGCGATTTTTGTACATGCTGCAGCGCATGCATGGTTGCGGATTGCAGAAGAGACGGGAAAACGTCATTGAATCTCTTCGCAAGAAAAGAGTACCTAAATATTTCAAGGCAGATGTATGTGCAGGGCCCGAATGCGAAGAAATTGAAGGCGATCGAAGATGTCAGGGAAACCACGCTTTCGCAACACCACGCACCCCGGGAATAACTCTCTTGGGTGCGATGCAACCCTGGCGAATCGCCTAAGATGCCTCCCCAGCAACAATCCGTTCGCGCGAATTGCAGTGCGCCCAAACATACTTTTCGAAATGCTATGCGCAGAGCTGAGGTACCCTTGAAATTTTCGCAAAAGTTCTTACCATCGGACCTCTTCCAACTCTTGCATATGCATATGTCCTACCTCAGTAAGTAGAGTCAAAGTAACACCGATCTCTACGTCATAAGTACTACTCAAGTTGGGAATTTTGAGCTACTCCGCATGAAACAGCCCTTGCCCATTCAAAACCTGTCAAGATCTTAAAAAGGTCCGATAGCCGCGTCTCACCATCGCAAGCCGTTTGTCCACACGATGGTGACTGGGAACACCAGATCTTGGTCCCGTCTGCACTAGGACACGCGTTCTTGAATAGCAGAGCACGGATAAAGTATCATATACAAGTCAAACATGATATCAATGTGTTACAGATAGTTGGGCAGCAATCTCACACCAACTTGACCGCCCAGAAGATTTTGCCCAGGCGAACAGGTATTGCGGGTACTGGATTGACCCGAAGAACCAACTGGACCATGAGCAGCCTGACACAGTATGCGCCCATCAGGTAACAACTCAACAATCTAAGGCCAAGAACTCGTAGAGCCAGTCGATTAACTCGGGCACCCATGTGCCCTTCTTAAGACCCCTACGTCCTAATAATACAACGACCACAGCAACACCCGCGTCTAGACGCACCGAGATATCTTCCCTAGTCTTTACTCCACAATCTCCACATACGTCACTCGAGCAACCAGGTCAGTCAAGACCACCGTTGTATGTAACGTATAAGGTCAGCCTGTGACGGGAAAAGAGAGGGAATGACCTTGAACGTTGGCATCAGTAGAAGACGGTGTGCCTGGTATGGTGTAGAGGGCTGACCTTGCAATGAGGAGGACGGGACGTGGCCCGTGATGAATGGCTGGATGTCAAAGCTTGACTAGAGGTCGTTGACGACGTTTGTGCGGCCGCCTAGCACGGACGTTATGATTAGAGTCGGTCGGCATCGCGAAAGTGCGATGTGGTGTTTATGCGGTGTGGGACATAATAGCATAGTTAATCATACGGGTTGCCTTGGAATCAGAAGACATGAGCGATTTGGACCGCAAGGAAGCAGGTCAGTTGAGATCCGTATGTTTGCACCGCATCAATTGAACTATACTAATTGATCATGACATGGTCAGCGCTGTTCCAGCTCCTGCAAACATCATGTGTCGCAACCTGTTTCTTTGAACCCTCAACGTCTGCCGCAGACTACTGACAGGCCCGGATATTAACCATGAGAAGGACTAGTATGAACAGATATGTACGTTCGTAGTATTTACAACCTATATGGTCGACTAGATAAATAATTACAGCAGGCGAAAGCGCGGGCTTCTGTAAACCAAGGACTACCCATCTAACATGAAGTTACGCCCATGAAACAACCAGTTCAGCGAAGGAACATCCCAGCGAACCCCGGGCCCAAACACGCGAAAATGCCCAAAGGCGAACAATGCGAGAGTAAAAGCAAAAGCGCTGCAGGTTTTCCTCATGCTCCGTGTTTCCATGGTAAAAAGACCCTATATTCCCCAGGCGATGGATGCACGGCCCGCCTGAAAACGAAAGGAGAATCGTCGTAAATGTGTAAAAATATATATATGCATAAACATGAAAGAAAGCGTAACGCATGACGTCATGAGAGCATCCTGATGCTCAATCAATGGCCAACGGGCAGCCAGGTTCTGCGCTCGTCCATACTTCTGTTGGTGCGGCCCCCTGGTGTCAGGGGAATCTCAACGCGCGCTCGATCGTTGCGCTCTGGATCGCTGTCTGAGTCGTATGCGTCAGACAGGCGGGAGAAGTAGTCGGCTAACCCACTCGTGGGCGATGCAATGGTTTCGTAAAGGGGAGGTGGAGTCTCTACGGGTGGAGGTGGTTCTATTTCTGAGAATGCGGGTGGGTTGAATGATGGTACGCGCATAAGATGAATGGGTCGTTGTACTGTAGAGTCATTCGGTCCGCCAATATGCGCTGCTTGCGGACGAGTAAGCGTCGGTGTTGGTGTTGGTATCACTGCGTCCGAGTTTCCTCTTGAGCGGCCTATTGAGCTCAGAGTTGGAACAAAGCTGGTTGGGGAGTTGCGCCGGGCTGGTGCATTCGGGCATCCGCACTCGGGTACGCGCGTGCCGCTTAGGGCTGGTTCAGGCGACGAGTATGCTGGTAGTGCTGTGTTCGCTTGCGTAGCTTGACACGAGAGAATGTGGAAGGGTGAGTCAATGGAGATTTCGAAGTGTCTTCTCTTAGTTGGGTCAGTGGCGTCCGGTTTCGAGAGGCGCATGACAAGCTAGTAAATTGTTAGTATGTAAGACGCTGAAACCTAAGGTTGAACATACCTTGATCCAATGGTGCACCTGGATATTCTGGTATGTCGTGTCGAAGTGTAGCTTTGATGACTTGTCTTTCTCTTTGAGGTTATGGCAGCTTGGTAGCTGTACATTGAATTCCATCTCTGTAGGACCGATGTTCGCGTCGCCACCAAGGTCACCCAGAAGGTTTGTAGGATCTTGCACCTGCACGTCCTCGCCTCGTGAAGCAGCCGCTCGTTGGTCGTATGGAACACCACCTCCAGAGACTATTCGCATTGTGCTACCGGGGAAGGTACTGGTTGGTGGGCCGTCTGCACGTTTCTCGAATAATTGGACCTTACGGACCGGCTCCATTCGATGGACTCGCTTGTTGTTGCAGAAATACTCGACGTTCTCAGTGACAAACACCTTGATACGATGACATTGCACCTTGGCGAGCGGGGTCAGCTTGAAGGCAATGGGAACCTGTGCACCGAGTGGGAAGGATTTGCCAGAGATGACTATGTCGTAGTGTAACTGGTCTTCCCAGCTGCGGCTAATGGCGATAGGCTCAACCTGCTCCAGTGACCCCTCCGAAGGTGCGCGGATCAAGGTGACTTCCTTTGTTCCAATAAGGTTTGTGCGGAAGGCACCGGCGCGTTCGACAGTAGCTTCCAACTCATATTTGACTGAACCAAGGTCGACATCGATGGTCTCGGGAAGGTGGCTGTCTAGCGGTAACTCGAAGTTGTACATGTACTCTCCAGGGTTGAAGGTCCTGTAACCCTTTTGTGCTACTGAAGGGCCGCCTCCAGGGGTGTCGCCCTTACCGAAGCTTCGCGATTGATTGACTTGTAACGATAGTCGTTTCGCCTCCTTTGTCGTTAGATTCAGCGAAGAGTTGTTTGGCGATCCAGTCAATCCACCAGAACCCTTGTAAAGTTCCACGTGATCTGCGCCAGTGCCATTCTCGGCGTTGGGGAATTGTGAATTGAAAAATGGCCAGGTGTGGCTCATCAAAGTGTCCACCTCTTCGAACTCAACTTTCTTTGGGGGAATGCCTAAAGAGTGTTAGTTTTAGAATGGCATAATGTAGACGAACGTACCTTCTGGCCACTTAGTCGTCGCTTTGCCTCTGAACTTGAGCGTAACAGCCTTGAGTTTTGAGGGTTTGGTGATCTTCAGACATAGTGTTCCACGAAGCATCGCCGTGCTTCGCT